TTTTGCTGCTAAAGTTAGAAGCGACATTTAGTGGATTTAAGCACTCTGGAGGTGCAGTTGTTGAGAGAGAAAAAAGGTACTTTGTCTAATAGACTCAAGGATTCCTGTAGCAAAGGGAGACCATTAATGTTTCCTTATTTTAAAAACAAACAAAAAAACCTCCCAAAGCCTGGCAGATGTTGCTTATGATGAGAGATGTGTTGGCTATGTATTGCAGTTCTTCAGATTGAGGAGTTGCACTCAATCTCATCACTGAAATCTATTTTCTGGGTTTTTGACAGCTGTTTTTGCCATTTATTTTAAAAGCAGATGGGGAAAATGCAAAGAAGAGCTGTCAATTTTATTACCATGTATAATCAGCATCTGTGCAATACATCAGACTCATTGCACAGCTTAAACTTTCTCTCTGTAGAAATATTCCTTTGGGATTTCTTGGCGATCTTCTTGCAAGACTTTTTGTAAATTAAAAGATACTGGAATTAAAAAGATAGATTAATTAGCTGCTAAAGCCACTATTGTATTGCCCACATTTACTTAATCAAGATGTTATGTTCTAATTGCTTAATTATAAAATATACAGCTAATTTACTCCTTCATATTCAAATTCATGTTTTCTTACCAATATATTTTGGTTTATTTCATTATTACAAAATACTTGTTCCTGATACTTGTCTCTGATCCGTTTACGTGCATTTAGGTGCAGAACATCTCTGTGAAGTTTTTTTTACCATTCTCTACTGAGCGGGCTTAGTATCTTGCACCCCATCTGCATGATTGAAAGTAAAAATGATTCTGTAGAGAACAGAGTGTTCTTAATGCCCAGTATACCCTCTTTTCTGATGCAGCAGTCCTTCACAGAAATGACTTTTATAGTGGGAAAGTAAGCTAGTCTAAAAGTGTCAGTATAAATAAGCATGTTGTCTGTCTCCGTAAGTGCGGAAGTAGTAATCAGTAATGGTGTGTTGCAGGCTTATAGTAGAGAACAGCATCCTCCTGGAAAGTGTCAAGTGATTTACATGTCACAGGGCTCTCAGGGGACCGTGTGGGAAGAATCTGTCTACTGGCTGGGGACCTACTTTGATTTGATTTGATTAGGTTGGAAGTCACAACTGCAGAAGCACCTTTGTTTCTTAGAATAGTAAATGGTTGTACATTACAGTCTGCAGTGATAAGCAGAGGGGAAAGATTTCGAATGAGAAATGTTCACAGTACATTTCCTAGATAGGAGAGATTAGGGTATAGCCTTCAAAAAAGGTTTCAACCAGTTTGGTAGCATTAAAAGACAGTAAAACACTTATGTATCGATGCAAGACTTCTTTGAAGCGAAACACTAAAAGGAGCAGGAGACTTAATACTAAGAGCATTAATTAGTGTTTGTATGGTGATGGGCAGAGTACTTTTTGTACATGAGGTATTGCAAGCTTTGATGAAGTATGTACTTAACTGTCTTCCTCCATTATCTTATCTTATTAAATATGCTACTAAAATTGACTGTGACTTTTGAAAAAGAAACCACCAAGGCACTGTTTATGATACATAGATGTCCATTTATAAGAAAGAATGACTTCTGGGATGACTTTGAAAGGAGATGTTGTGCACAAGATTTAATACAAGTCCCATGGAAAAATACTGACACGAGCTTTTTGTTCTTTGGTGATATAATGATACTTCTTGCCATGTCATTTGCAAGCACTTAATAGCTGACTTTTTTGGCAATAGATAACTGTAAACCATCCTATTCCAGAATTAAAAATGTTTCATTTAATATGAAGCATTAATATAAAGGAGTTTTTAATTACTATGGATTTTATCAGTGGAATGCAAATTTCCCTTAGATATTAGTCTATCCGTACTTTGTGACCCTGGAATATATCTAATTAGATTTTCTCTAGAATAGTGGATGCAAATTTGCACTCTGTGAAATTCAGCTGATTCTATGAAGATAAAGCAGAAGATTAGAGGATAATAAAGCTTGAAAATGTGAATTTGATTTACTTTCTTTACAGACAAAGTGGGATATAAAAGATTTTTTTCTGTATTTATATAATCTTATTTTCCCTTTCTTATGCTAATCTCATTTTCTAAAATGTGATGTGTTTCAGTGTGTAACTCACTTTGGCGTGAGTTAAAAAAAGTCATATTTAGATGATCCTACTATAACAAATCCTTTATCCAGAAGAGCTTGTAAATTTATCCCAGCACTGCACAGTCTGTCTATTAGACTATAAATTTCTTACTGAAAGGACATGTTAGGTAAAGTTGACATGAAGTTCATTTTCATATCCACCTATGAATTGGTAGCTTGCTCTACTAGAACTGCTAGAAAATTAGCTTGCAGAAGTACACTGTAGCAGGACTTCTTCAGGTTTTGGACTCATGTAATTTGTAGAGTAATTGGACAGCATTAAATTAAATCTGCTATTCCATCTTCTCATAAAAGCCACCTACATGTATCCTGTAATGTACTTAGGTACTTCAGTTTATAGAATTAATATATATTTTTAATTAAGAGAGTAAACTGGAAAATACTTTGTGTCTTAATTTAATGCTAGACCTTGCATTACATGCTTTATTGTATGTAGTTAAGATAATTATATATTTAAAGATATGTGAATGTAGACTGGAGCCCTCCAGCACCAGGTTACAAATCTCTACATCATGGACTGATAAGCAGAATTTATAAATGACACTTGTGATGTCATTTATATGTCAAGCCTCGTGTGGGAGCATTGCTACTGCAATATCTCTCTTTCCCATATACCCAGAGGCATATTCCCCCAGTCTCCAGCAACCCAAATCCTTCTCTGTAATATGGCTTATTCCTTCCCTGTCCTTTTTACCACCCACTATCCCCTTTCCAGTCCTCTGGTTACACCCTGTGAGTTTTCCTGTGCAAGTCTTTGGCTGGTTTTCAAAGCTCCACATCTGATAAATGTCTGGTCAGGCTCTCCCTGGTAACCACCAGGCAGTTGATTGCTGCCAAATAGAGTGTGTAACAGGAATGGATGGATGGCAGGCATGCTCTTCAGGGCTGGGTTGATTTGGTTTCTCAACTCCTTCCAATTGCTAAAATGAGAAGGTTTTATTATCTGGAGATTTTACCTCTCTTTCATTTAGCCACCTGAATAGAAAACTTATCTAGATGATAAGCATGCATAATCTTTAATTCCTGGGAAAACTAAGCTAAAATTGTAGTGTAAGAACAGAAAATACTTGGGTTTGGCCTAACTTGTAAACTTCAGCAAGTTTTTACTTATTCTGATGTTTACCTTCTGCATCTACCCAGGTTTACTGGAGACCAGCAACTTTGCTGCTTTGTAGCCTGGTCAGCACTCCTGATCTGGTGCAAAATGTGTTTCATGGGTCCAAAAGGCTCAGCCGAGGCAAAGGAAGAGTATGAAAGAGTATCGTGTTTATGGAAAAAGTTATCAATCTTGTGCCATGGGATTTACTTCAGTGTTTAAATTATACCTGAAATCTATAGCAAGGTTTTCCTAGTTAAGTAGCTTTTTTAAAAAAGGACCCTGTGTAAAACAACTCTGATGAAGTGAGATTTTCTGTGTGTAAGGAAGATTTTTCTGGAGCTTTGGGGGTTTTTTGTTGGCTTCTTTATAATCTATTTACAGCAAATTCTGCTAAAGTAAAGCATGATTAGACTAAAGAGATTTTTCGTATTAAATATATAAGTATCTCTATCTGAACAAGACTTCATGAAAGTAGCAAAAAAATCTTCAGTTTTATATCATGGTCTCGAGAAACTTTACAAAAAGAAACAATTTTTGTTAGAATATTTTCTTGGAAAATTTACTCAAAAGTATATGAACTTATTAGTTACACTGCACACAGAGACTAGTATGTTTCTATCAGTACAAAAGTGAAATAGGAGACAGTTAATAGGACAAAGGTAAAAAGAAAAAAATAGGCCAATTTTCCTCCATCTAGATTTAAAAACGCTCTTTCACCTTAGATTCTGAGACAAAATAGTGCAGTAAATTTAGAGATTTTTGATTCATTTTATTAAATAGATTTTTGGCATTGTATGTACATAGATCATAGTATGAGTGCATGAAAGGGGGAAATAGAAAGCTTATTAGGTAAGCATGATATGTAGTTTGAATAATCCAGCCTTTTACCACTGTACTTTTTAGTATAATAGTTTTTTACCTTATGTCTACATAAAAGAAATTTCTGCACCGACAAAATCACGATACACTATAGTGTGTAAAGAAGTAGCTTCTATTTGAAATGTGCTTATTCCTGAATCTCTTTTGACTTATTGGCATGTGGTCTATAGATTTGTATCAGCATAGATTTCCCATATGCAAAGCTCTGCATGTTCAAAAACTTCTTGGAAAACTGTTTCCATCAGCAAACTCACACTTGCAGTATGGGAAGTATCAGTCATAGTCGCTGTACATTCACAGCAAGCGTGGCCATTAACACTAACCCCAATTTTAGATTAAAATACTTGTTTAAAGAAGTTAGAAGTATGACTGTGCAATCTTAGTAGTACATCTTAAAGAAAACGTTTTATATACTGCTATTTGTTCTGTAGGAACATGTCTCCCCTTTCCTATGGTTTGCATATTTCAGTTATCTCATTGAAGTCTTTAGACATTTATAAATAAAACTGACTATGAAAATTACTGTGTGCATAATACATTGGGAGTCACTTACCACCAAGACGATTTTGACATTTTTAATTACAATTCTATCTTAATTTGTAGAAAAATCTTGTGTGCTCTGAAAATAAGTTTTCTTTAGATACAAAATCAAGATTGGGTGCTAATTTACATTACTCTCTATGGATTAAAAGGTTTGACTGATTTTTTTTTTGTTATGAATGAAATATTATGCTGTTATTATACTGAAATATTATACTGAAAAAGAAAACAAAAATAGCCTTCTTTGTTGAAGTCTATCTCTACTAGTTTCTTGTAGATTCAGATTCCTGTTTGGCTTGGATTTTGTATTTTTACATTACTGCTGTTCTTTTGCAGACGGTTAGAACAAAATTCAATCAAGGTCATACCTCCTGGAGCTTTCTCCCCTTATAAAAAGCTTCGAAGAATGTACGTACCAAATAATTTAAATTTTTTATTTTCACATGTATGTATACATGCATATACATATATATAGTTATATAAAAAGATAAAAAACAAGTCAAGTTGGTACAGGGGAAATACAGTCAGTGTGTGAGCACTTAAGAAAGTTTGACTGCTAGAAGGTTAACTGATATGGTAGCCTGATTATTAAGAATATATTTGTCATATTAAAACTAATTGGTTTTTTATCAAGTATTGAAATTGTTTAATATGGTTCTGCATAGAAGCAATATACTACTGCAGTGAAAATTATATTAAAAAATAAATAATGAGGAAAATTACAGATTATTTTTGAGGCTGGGTAGTCCTGTGGCCATAGCAAGCACAGAATTCTTTATAAAATGTACTCAAACAACTAGGAAAAGCATTTTTTCAAGCATTTGAAAGATCTGTTTTCAACCATGCATTTTGTTTCAGTGTACTGGCAATTTTAGTGGTTTTATATTAAAATTTTTGGCAGTGTCTCATGTAAATATTTTAATTTCTCTCTCCCATCCATGCTTAATTCTAATTATGTATTATCTTAATGTTTGCTATTTTGAAAATAGCTTGAATTAATTGAGTCAAATTTCATTTTTTCAGTGACCTGAGCAATAACCAGATCTCTGAAGCAGCTCCAGATGCTTTCCAGGGCTTACGTTCACTCAATTCACTGTAGGTATCTCTTTGACCTGTAAACAGAAGGAAATTTCCCCTTATTCCTATAGTGAAATTATTTTGGCTTTTTGACTCTCTGCAAAATTTTCCTATTAATTCAATCAATTCTGAAAGTTGTAAAAATCATTTCAGAATGTTAGTGATAGTTAAATATTGTCACAGCTTGACACTAGTAATATATAGGGTTTTTATAAATATGTCATTTATAATGTGGCACAGAGCTGAACAAAACCAAATGTCTTTAATTCCTCAGTTAGTTGTTCTTGCAAACAGCAAATCCACTTACCAAGGTCCCTTGGGAACGCTGTAAGCAGTGAGGTGCTGATTCTGCAGAGAACCCTTTGGGCTCTACACCTTTTGGGAAAATGTGTGATCTTGCTACCTCACAGGACCATGAGGATATTGCAAGTATCAAGTGGTGGCCATTAAAATCCTTTCAGGAAAATGGAAATTACTTTATTCTTAAAGTCAAAATCCCTTAGCATATGCCTTTCATAATGGTGGCTTTGTTTGCTTTATTTCCTGGTACAGAGTCCTCTATGGCAATAAAATTACAGAACTTCCAAAGGGCCTATTTGAAGGACTATTTTCTCTGCAGTTGCTGTGAGTATTTTTTTTAATATTTATTCTATTTTGGGATAATTCAAAAGATAAACATCACAAGAGATTTATACCTGAAGAAGAACTAGTAGGAAATCCTATATGTAAGATCAAAGTATAGTAAAACCAAATTATGTTAAAGCCAAAGGAGTCAAGACTGTTGTAGGCCAGCTTGCCATTTGCCCACAAATGTGATCATATCAGTTAATGTCTCAGCGTAAAATAATTCAAATTAAAATATTCTCTTGTGTGGAACTTGTAAGGATAAAACACATAAGATACGTACGTAAAGAACAAATAGCATGTATAAAGATGTGTGGGAACCATAGAAGGAATATCTGTGTGTTTTATAAAGAGAAAATAGGTAGTAGAAATGCTATATAATTGTATTTCTAGTTGTATCCATGAAGAACAGCATTGCACCACAGTTTCATTGATGACTTAATGTTTTCTGACACTGTACAAGTCTTTGAACTCCAACTGCTATTTCCTTTAGCACTTTGGAAATTTCCATGTGTAATCTTATAAACGATCGCTCTTTAGATTTAATACTGGAATAAAGAATGTCATGGTGATGTGTTTATCAAATATTGTCAATAATTAGCAGAAGAGGCTGTGTGGTAGTTGTACTGTGTAAAAGAAATTTGTGCAATAGACTGTAAAACAACAGTGGTGTTTTTGGAAGAACTTGTCCCAGGCAAACTAACTTGTCGAGTTAAAGAGTATACTTAAAGAATTCAAAAATTCTTCCCACTTGTTTAGAATTATTTAATGCCCAGACTTCACAGTGCAGTGGTTGGCAAAATGTCTGTTATTAACAACAAATTGAAGATGGCAAAACAGAAAATAGATATTAAAAATATGCAAGTTCTAGCACCACCTAGAGGTTTGCGTTTTGATTTATTTTAATCACAAAGTAGTATAGTAGTGGGCAGGGGGGGTATGCTTTCCTGTTTTCCTTTAAAGATGTTTTAGTTATATATTTTTGATTTGGTGAAAAAAAAAGGCAGGGGGGGGAAGAGACCTTTCCAAACTGCTGTCTATTCTGTATTAAAAAAATGTCCATAGCTTACATTTCAGTCTAAGTAAATTTCTGCATTGTGGCAAAACTTCTTTTCAGAGCATTAGGGTTCAAATCCACCATTTCTGGCTCAAAATGGAAAAAAGTAAAAAATATTTGGTTATAAAAATGCATGTGGTTGAATGACTTTTTTTTTTTCTCTTCAAAAGGAGTTGGTTTAGATTGGCTTGTTTATTTTATCATTAAAAGTCTGGGAGGTACAAGGAAGAAAAGGTTCCCTTTGAAGATGGAGAGGAAAAAGGATCCAAGACAGATTTGGATATATTCCATACCACCAGTTTTTACTACAACTCTGTTAATGCGGCAGCATGCTGATTAGTAACATATAATTAAAAGTGCCACTGCACATCTCTTCCAGCTCATGAACACAGTGTTCAGTTCCTTTTTTGTTTGTTTATTTGTTTGGCAAAAGGAACTAGTTTTCCTTGCATATACTTGATTTTTTAGGCTTGTTTCTTTGCACAAATACCACACACACACATTCTTCCAGTACATACAAGAAATGTGATTTTAGCTGAATAAATATACACATTTCAACTCCAAGGTGCAAATATATAGGAATACATATCAGTTAAATAAGACATTTCAATTCACTGAAGTGCCTTATGTCATTGTCAATTATTATTTGTTACTACATCTCCCGTTCTGGTTACAAAGGTGCAGAAAGACTTATCTGTGAAAAATGCTGAAGCTGCGACATGAAACGAGTTCTCTCAATTTTATAATTGTCTTCCATTAAACAGATTATTGAATGCCAACAAGATCAATTGCCTGCGAGTTGATGCATTTCAAGATCTGCACAATTTGAATCTGCTTTCTTTGTATGACAACAAGCTTCAGACCATTGCAAAAGGCACCTTCTCACCCCTACGTGCGATTCAGACCTTGTATGTATGCTCTTGTTTATGGTTGTCTTTAGTATGACTTCATATAAAATGCAGCAAAAGCATTGGATACTACTAGGACCAAAGGGAAATAATGAGTGAAATTATTGGTTTTTTTCTTCATGAAAGGCATTTGGCTCAGAACCCATTTATCTGTGACTGCCATCTGAAGTGGCTGGCGGATTATCTTCATACAAACCCCATTGAGACCAGTGGTGCCCGTTGCACCAGCCCCCGCCGTCTGGCAAACAAAAGGATCGGCCAGATCAAAAGCAAGAAATTCCGCTGCTCAGGTAATTTTCTTAGTTCAGCTGCTATTTTTCCTTTATTGGCAAAAAAAAAAAAGAGGTGGTTATAGAAGTTCCAATGAAGCCAGCTGGCTCTCTGTGGAATTATTAAACATTGCAGAATCTTTTTTAGTTCTTTGACTGAAGGGAGGGAAATCATGGAAGTCATAGACTATTGGATCACGGAACATTACTGTACTTAACACATTTGGCACTATTCCTGAGTAGCATTAAATATAACAAAATAAATGCAATATTTAAAACTTCAGAATGAAATGCTAAAGTTATTCACTACAAGTATCACCAACATAAATCATTTTGTAAAATTTCCACAACCCTCTGGAATATGCAAAAGATCTAAAAATTCCGAAGCTAAATACGGAAACATGACATATTAATTTTATACAGGGAGCTTGCCTCATACTGAAATTTACTGTTTTCTTTTTCTAATCTTATTCCATTTCCTACTTACATTTATTTAAATCCTAACTTTTGTCATATGGTTTCCAGCTGTTCCAGGTGCATTTCACATTCTACAATTTATTCAGTCTCAAGTGCAAATACCAGATGAAAACTGTTTGTTATCCATGTTCCGGATACATTTATGACTATTCACACTTTGTTGTTTATCAGTTCTCATTGTGAATACACCTTTTTTCACTTAATTATCTGTAGTTAACTGCAGTCCATACTTAACCTAATAAAACTCATTCTTTGCTTGCTGACATTCAGGTGCATCTTCTATTTTTTTTCTCTCTTTATTTAGCTAAAGAACAGTATTTCATTCCAGGTAGGTTTGGCTCTGCAGGAAGATTGACTAACTGCAGATATTCTCTCCCTTTCCCCCTAAAAGCAAAGTTTGTTATAGCTTTTAGGAAACTGATGCATGTGTATTAACATTAGTCAATACCTGTAGCTACACATAGTTTTCCTTTGTAGAATACTAGTAGTTCTGTTTTCTGAATATAAGAGCTTAGCATGCAGCTCCATTTACCTTTTTTGTCTCACAAATTTGCACACAACCTACCAAAATTATACCTATACTTGAAGTATTTAGAAGATTGCACCTGCTAGTTCATATTTTAATTGATACCTTTACTTACCTTGTACCTTGCCTTTCTGCCACTACTGTTTTTAAATGTAGCTCCTGAGCTACTTTTAAACACAGGAAACCATGCTGCCATCAAAGAGCTAGCACGACTTTAAAAAACCAAACATTTTACAAATTAACATTTTCTTGCCTTGCTTTCATGCTCTACACTGGCTGCAGCTACTGCTTGCTCACCTCCTCGTGTTTAGGAAATCACAGTGGAATGCTTGGAAAAGAAAGCTGATATTCTTAATTAGATGCATTCTGTGGTCACATGCATAGAGTGAATCAGAAATGCTTTCCATTGAAGAAAATATGACTTTAGAGTTGGGATGAAACAGTAATTTACACACTGCTTTAAGCTACAATAAGTCTATGATATTTTTACTAAAGATTTACTGATGTTGGCCCTAGCTCTTTGAAATATGTATCTTTCTTTATTTTACCTTGTTTGTCAGTGTGTGCACTGATTTCTTAATAGAAAAAAAAATCACTTATGTTATATTCATAAAAGATTATAAATGATTGACAAAATAAACAAGGGAATAACACATCTATTGATGAATTACAGGATGTGATTTTCAATCAGGGTTTTCTACCATAGTTTAAGATCTAGAAAGATATATACAATAATTGATTTTGACACCAGTGCACTTGTTTTTTCAAGTACTACAGGTATACGGTTATTCTGCAGTCATTGCCTCTTTAGCTGGTATGTTTAACAAATGCTGTGTGATGTATCGCTTAAATTTGCAGCAATCATGTGAAGTTCTTCATGCCCTTACACTAATACGTTGGTTTGAATATGAAGAAAAGACAAAATGAAATACAAAATAAGGCAGCAATTTGTCAGCACTGGCAGCCGTGAAAATGTGTTTTAAAGTAGCATAAAACAGGGGGATTCAATTTCTCAAACCTGTAGTACCACTCAATTCTTTAATGAGTAGAACAGCTGTATTCCTGCCACAGAGTGACTTCTACTCAACCTTGCCAGCACAACTTTTGTCTGTACATTAGAAGTGTTTTCTTGCCAGCAAATGTCTTCACATCCTGTTTATATTATGGCCACACATGCCATTAGGTTTGTTTACATATCCTTTAGGATATGCTATTCCTGGAGAAAAAAAAAAGGAAGAAAAAGAATTAGTTAATCAAAAAGTGCTTCTTGAAATACAGCTTTTGTGCTTTCTCTTTCAATCAGGTTATCAGGAAAATGCTGCCTAAAAGTATTTTAGTTGTTGAAGGCTTTATCCCTGAATATTTTAGTTTGCTTCAAACTGCTAACAGTCATGGACTCTGGGTGCTGGAAGAAAAAAGTCATGTTTTGTAACCTTGTTTACTGGGTATTTCAAAGTGCTAGAAACACTATACTTAAATAAATAGTATCAAATAATCTTAGGATTTCTTAAAAAACTTAAATTTTATTTTTTTTTAATATTTCATTGAGAGATCCTACTTTGCAGACACTATGAAGTCTTAGTAGAAATTTGTTATAGTCATTTGGAAGAATAAAGGTTATAGAAGTATTAAATCATTTTTTTGAAAAAATACCATTTATCTGCTAGCTCATAGAAATACTCTATGCTAGTTTTATCATGTATATTGGTACGAGAGTTACAAGTGCTAGAAATCATAATATGTGATGGCTGTTGGTGGGGTTTTTTCCTGCCCTGAGTAATCTGTTTCTCCTATGTTTGTTTGGTTTAGTAAGGATTTAAGTGGCATAGCATGTATATATGTTAAAGGAGCAGCTTTTAAAGAATGCATTCAAAATACTGAAGAATAATTCATGGGAGGCATCATCATCATCCTCCTATATAAAATCTGTAATAAACCCCAATCTTATCTTCATTTTTAAATGCCACTAAAATGAATTATTTTTTCTCTCTGCTGAAGACCATACCCCTTAGTATCTTCTTCTAGTCAAACTAAAGTTGAATAGAGAACATGAGAGCTTAGTTCATGTTTTTGTCTTAATTGGGATTACTCTGTCTTTCTTTCCTTCTTGGCTATCTTTACTTTTGCAGGAGTTCACCATTTTGGCTGTAAGTAAAGTTCAGTGTCTGAGCTAAATCACAGTGTACCTCCCAGCCCTGATGCACCTTCTACTAGTCTCAGTCTTTTCACCTTTGTCCAAGAAGAACCCACAGGTCCTTTCAGCTTCTCTTTGTTTTCTTTGTCACCCACCCTCAGTTCCTTACTGGATGTTTTTTCCTGATATGTTTAGGATGTTTTCTTTAAATGACTCTGGGAAATGGTGGAGGAAACTTTCAATGTGGTCCTTTTTTTTTTTTTTTTTGTATTTTTTGGTATTTTTATTTAATCTGTGACAGTGATACTGTTACTGTGGCACTGGACATTCAATAATAAGAATGCCATGTCATGTAAGCAAGTATTAAACTTCAGATGTTTCTGTAACTTATACCTACTCCTTCCTCTTTTCCCTTCCTCTTATCCTTGGCCTAATGGATGCAGTTTTGATAATGTAGCGAGATTTTCTGTTGTGCTTGATCTAACCATGTGGTTGTGAGGTATGAGTAAAACATGGTTCTGTCAAGCACCATGGAACGTCACGCAGCTTTCTACAGCATGGCAAGCTGCTGAGGCTTAAGTCAGGATCATACATTTTTTAAATTAAAGCTGAAAACAGGGCTTTCAATCTTTTGTGTTGAGTTGATGTGGAGTATCGGGACTATTAAAAAAAAAAATCACAGAGGTTAATGAAGTCCAGTCAACAATACAAATTTGTAACCAGAGAAAGAGAAAAGGTGGCATTCAGGATCTATTTATTCTTGATACAGAGAAAGAAAATAAATTCTAAAAGAATCACTGGCATTTGTGTGATTAGCTATAAACAAGGCTAGATTGGCTGACAACATAATCAGCAGAAAGTACAGCTGTGAAAAGCTCAAGTTATTGTTATCCCGTTACGTGAAGTTGGTCTCAGTTTCTTTTTCCAGCATATCTAAAGTCCCTATATTTAACCCTCTCTTGAAGCCCTTGTGTCTGTTCAGTATCACAAAGTTTATCATGCATTTCCCAAGTTGCCCACCATTATCTGCATTGCAGAAATCTTTTCAACCTTCTCACAAGCAGTAAATCATATACTTTATTGACTTAATATCTGTGTTTTGACTTGAATCTTCTACAGGCACTGAGGATTACAGATCCAAATTAAGTGGAGACTGCTTTGCAGATTTGGCTTGCCCTGAGAAATGTCGCTGTGAAGGGACCACAGTGGACTGCTCCAATCAGAAACTCAACAAAATTCCTGATCACATCCCCCAGTACACAGCAGAGTTGTAAGTTGAACCCATAATAAAGCATTGTTTATTATGGAAAAACTAACTAAAATTTTCAAATTTTCAAACCACAGTTTTACTTTTTTGAACGGCAAAATAACCTCTGTGGTGCCCTTCTAAGGACTAAATATTCATAAAAATTATTCATGCATAATTTCAGTACCATGTAGCCTTAAAAACCCATGATAAATAAATAAAGTAACTATTCTATATTTCTAGTTCTTCAAGGATCTGAGCTACCCACTTCAGTTTTTCTGAGAGGTAGTAGGGTTTATTTTGCTTTTAACTTTAACTGCAAGAGAAAGTAGGACATCCAGAAACCAAAGGGGTCAGTCTTAAAAAGAGCTACCTGGGTGTTTCAGAAGACAGAGCTGATTCTTCTTATGCAAAGTACACATTACATGTGTCAGGCAAGAGGCCAGAGAAAGATAAAGCAGACAAACAGAACAGTGTTGGTTTAAGAAGATGAGATAATAGTATAATGAACAGAATGGGCAGAAATCACAAGTTATTACTTGCTTAATAAGTGCCATATGGGAATGATTTGTAGGCATTACAACTGAAGTGATCTTCAAGGAAGGAGTGAAAGATAAAATTAAGACTACTTTACAAGGTTTTCCCATGTGCAAAGCATAGTATGAAGGGAATGCAGAGATGCTTGAAGGATCAGTGGAAAGGTAGATGAAAAGTGGCTGTCACTGCAGAGCAAAGGGGGAAGGAAATAGCTGTTTTTCGTAGGAGATTCAGTTTAAAGAACAAGGCAGAATGTTGAGGGACAAGAGGGGGCCTTTGATTTAATGTAGTAAAACAGAGACAGAGATGTGGAGACAGGAGTACTGTGATCAAGCTGTAACCCACAGGGGTGAGATGAGCAACAGGATGACACACCTCTTAAAAGACAATCAGTATAGAAGTGGCATCAAAGCAACAGTACAGCAGTGAAGGTAGGAAATAGTGAGACTATTGTTAAGTATTTTGAATATCTTGACAGGAAAAGGAATTTAAAGCAAATATTTTTAAAACAGAGATGGAGCTTTTTGTCTGTCTCTGAGCTGAAGAAGGAATTGAACTTCACGGTTGCTTTCTGTGCTGGTTTTGGCTGGGGTAGAGTTAATTTTCTTCACAGCGGATAGTATGGGTTTATGTTTTGGATTTGTGCTGAACACAGGGTGAATAATATAGAGATGGGTTTTTTTTATTGCTGAGCAGAGCTTACACAGAGCCAAGGCCTTTACTGCTTTTTGTACTTCCATGCTGGCAAGGAAGTTGGAGGTTGCATGTGAGGCTGCAAGGAGGCACAGCCAGGACAGGTGACCCAAACTGGCCAGAGGGATATTCCAGACCATATGACATCATGCTCAGTATATAAAAGGGGTGGGGGGGTGACGTTTGCAGTGATGGAGTCTGTCTTGCATGTTATGCGTGATGGGGCCCTGTTCTTCCGAAGAAGGCTGAACACCCACCTGCCAGTGGGAAGAAGTGAATTAATTTCTTATTTGCTTTGTTTGTGTATAAGGCTTTTTTTTCCCTATTAAACTGCATTTATCTCAACCCACAAGTTTTCTCATTTTCACCCATCTGGTTGTCTCCCCAGTCCTCCTAGTGGAGGAGTGAGTGGCTGTGTGGTGCTTGGTGTCTGGCAAGAGATAAACCATGGCATGTTCTTACTAAAAATCTGAGAATTACAATCAGAAGAGAAAATTGATACAGTCTTGGGTGAAGGGAGATCGACTCCAGTGGAGAAATACATTTTATGTTATCCTATATTTTAAGATAAAATTCATTTAAGAGTAAAAGCTGATGGATTAGGTAACGGGTTAACATAGGATGAGATCATAAAGTAGTGGTTCTATAAATGATAGTTACTGAATGAAGAGATGAGAAATGGAGTTGTTGAAGTGGCAAACATGCATTGTCTTGATTTTTAGGAGCAATCATGTTTAATTCTCTCTTTTCTGACGAAATAATAATCTTAATTTAACATTTTAATTGTTGTTTTTCGTATTCATTTATTTACATGTGGAAGATAAACTGTCAAGTGTTTTCTTTCTATAATTATGATTCCTACCTATTAAATTCAGAAGGAACAATTAAATAATCAAACGTCATCTTCTGTGTATCCTAAACACTCAAATTTCAGTAAAAAAAATTTTTTTTGACTAAAGTATAATTCTTTTTTGGTTGCAGCACTTTTTCAGAAAATACTCATTCTTGTTTGAAGGTGTTAGTGGATTTAAAAATCCACCATTTCCCTGAGACTTTACAGAAGTTAATTATCTCCTTTCACTTCTGTTAAAATCTTTTAAAATGGGAACTTTTACTTCAAGAGAGAATCTGCTTCCCTTCAGTTTTCATCATTGCTTTCTTTATATTTTTTGCCATTAAAAAGACCTTTTCTGTATGTAGCACTTTATCCAAGTAAGATGGTGTTAAATGTAACAAAGTCATTTTTCAGCCTTCTACTTGATAGGCTGCACAAATTGTCCTTCAAGTCATTTGATGTAATAAAAATTTCAATAGCACTACAAATATTCTAGAGAGGGTAGAGAAATTATTTCTGCATTTTTTTACTTCTGCTAAAATCCATTTGCTCTAGCCAAATACACTCTTTTCGTATTTGCCTCACTGATACAAAAGTTACAGCTCTTTTTCTTTTTTCCTCCTGTTATTCCTGGTCTTTGATGCACTGCCTTTGATGTTCCTCTTGCAACTTTCCAGTCTAGTTCTAGGACCACTCTGTGATGTCCAGTTCACAGTATTTACTGGCATGTATATGAGAACAGCAGCTAGTTAGTCTTTCTTTTCTTTTAGCTATCACATTTGAGATAAAGATACTTGTTAGAGTCAAATTACATTGATGCTTCTATAACAGTGATGAGGAAAGCTAGATTAATTTCTACAGAGTGGTGTTTAGAGCTGAGTCTCAGCTTGAAAATAAAGATCAAAAGTGAGGAAAAAGGTATGCATTGTGTATATTACAACAGTAGTGATAGCCCCCCAGTATTTCTTCAAGTTAGTTGCTTTTTTAAAAAATCTAAAAATAATAATATAGTTCAAGGCATATAGTTAATTGTAAAAGTGAAAAAAATTGTAAATAAGCCAATTGCTGTTCTAACTTCATATTTTGTTGCTTGCTCGCAGTCTTCCAGAAAACCAGTGAAAGATCTGTCTAATCTGCTAATGAAGTATTTGATATAAAGTACAAGTCTGTAATTGTACCCCAGAAATAAAATCTTTTTCAGGTAGCATTCTAATGTATAGGAAAATTCAAGAAGTGTTGATAAACCACTCAGACAAGAGTCCCCAGGAAGAAAGCTAAATAAAAATAATTTCTATCTTATATGTTGAGTTTTTATAATGATTTTACAATAACTGATAACCAAACATGACTGTTTTGAAAAGCATGAATATCACTGCAGTATATAGCCTTCCAGGAGGATCACCTATTGTATGAAAACATGCGAGTATCTTAGCCATTGTGTTACTAAAACAGGAAAAAGCATCAAATAAACCAAACAGAATATGTAGACATCATTGTGAAATGCTTCTTTGTTTACTTTTTTGTTTTGAGGATGGTGTTTCAGTACTTTTCTTTGAATAAACCAGATAAAAGTAATTTTAACATCACTTTCATGATCTAGTGATGGACAGGTAACAACTATAGTTATTGTCTTTAGTGGTGAAGAGCACTAGGCTAAAAAAATACTGATATTAAAATCCATAAGAGAGATCTCATCCCATCTGTTAATTTTCCAGTTATCTTTAATAATTTTGTTTCCATTATGTGTGGACTAATTTAAATAAAATAAATGAAATTTAAAAAGAATAAAAATTAAAAATCTACCTATGACATTATGTAGGATTATTTAGCCCTGGAAATAAAAGACTGAGGAATAACCAATGAGGAGTTCAAGATAAAAGGCTATAGTGATGTTGTCGTGTATGTTAAAGGTGAAGGAGTGCTTTTGGGAACTACTGCAAATTTCGGTCTGGGATATACTTATAGCAATGTAGTATGTAAATTATACAAAATAATTATTTTACTCTACATAGCAATAGTAAAATATCAGCTGGAATACTGTGTCAAGGGCTTCAGTTTTCAAGATGAATCACTTAGAAAAAAAATTCAAGGAGAATCATCTAAAAAAGACGACTTCTGAGAAAAAAACTAAAAAAGTTGAATGCATTTATGTGAAAGAAACTTGAGAGAGAGACAAAGTAAATTGCTTTTAATATGTTTTCAATGAGGTCAGAGATGTTTGCAGTAGAGCAAGTAAGTATTATTAGAATCAGTATATGTTTTCATTAACAAGTCATTCTGCTAGATGATATAGCAGTTGAAAAGTATGTGAAAATGTCAGCATTTATAAAATTCTGCTTCTGTTGTTCATGGATGGGGGAAAAAGAGGCTATTTACAGTGGAGAAGTAAGTTTGTTGATTGACGGTATGCAAGAATTACTTTGTATGGTTCCACTAAAAATCACAATAAGTCATTCAGCTGATTTTCAGAGGTGGTAACATCTTTTGAAATTCATGTTCCTTGTAGTTTGGTGTGCTACACAAACATTTTGTGTATATCCAAAAAACTGTCTTCTCTCGATTTGGTTCCACGTTGAAACTATTGTACAGATTTACAACCTTCATTTCCCTTCTGGCTATCACTGAGAATGAACAGGAGGGAAGGATGATCAAACAGCTTTCCTTTATTTTCTAGGTGTTTTTTAATCTTGCCTTGCGATAAGGCAATTCTGAAAAGCATTCTGGGTTTAGAATTATGCTGAATTTCATTTCACAGTGATCTTGTCAGTCACATCTCTTTCTTCCTATTTAAGATCTTAAAATTAAAGCTGGACAGACTCCTTTCCTTAATAAGATGGCTCCATTAAAATATAAAGGACCTAAGACTCATAATTTCCGTTTTCTTTTCAAGAGAGGAAATAGGGAGTACTGGGTCAATGGAGATATTTTTTGAAATTTATATAGTCCCCTAACCTAGCAGCTGCTGAAGTATACCATGCTGGAACAGCCTTGTTACCTGTGTAGGAAAGATAAATATCCAGCTAGTATTTGTTGCTCATTGTATACCTTCCTATAGTGTTAAAAATCAGCATTTAATGCTTCCTTAAGCTATGTATGTGTGCAGCCGTAGTGGCATGTAGATAAACCATGGTAAGAGAAGTGTTTTTTAAATTCTTGAAGACCTGTGCAGTGTGTTTCATTCCCTATTCAGAAGAAGCATTGAGTAATTATTTCATTCTTGTAAACAGTGTTCTATGAGTACCTCCAGATGTCTGGCAGACCCCACCTGATATCCTTTAAAGAACATAAAACTAATCTTCAGTGGTTTACATGTACTTCTAAAAGATTTTTATTTATAAGTTGCCATGGAACCCTTCCTTAGTTACATTTTTGCTTGCAAAATTAAAAACATCATCTTATATTTCTCTGCGGTTTTAGTTGTATAATATTTTGTGATCAGGCTATTAAAAAGTCTTACGTATGCCTAAGTTTAACTAATGAGAAAGTTCATTCACAGGAATGAGAATATTCATTCACAGGAATTATCAGAATTAGAAATGTCAGTATATAAGAAATTGTTCTGCATCTACCAGTTAAACACCAGCTATTCAGTGAAACCAATCTGAAAAGTTCAGCTAATGTAGAACATTCTGTACCCATGCCTGAATAATTGTTTCTGAAATTGATGTAATTTCTTTTAGGCGGCTAAATAACAATGAATTTTCAGTCCTGGAAGCTACTGGAATCTTTAAGAAACTTCCTCAGCTCCGTAAAATGTAAGTGCAACTTCAATGACCTTGTCTATTCAGACAGCATGTTAGCTCCTTGCTGTGTCTCTCCACCTTTCTTAGTTTTTATCTACAAAAGATTCAGTATATTCTAATTGAAAATCAAGAATGCGTTTAAATTAATCACTGAGGTAGGTCAGAGTTGGCAGCTCTTCTCTATGGGACTAGGCACTGCCAGCAACAACTTCTCATGGTGTATGGCTCCGGCACCTTCGCAGCAATGTCCAGCCAGCTGGTCTGTTATGCAGCCACAGCAGGGAGCTTGCAGTATAAGCTGCTTAAAAAAGATTCCAGTAATCTTTTGTAACTTCCTGTATTACTCCCTAACCAGACAGTTTTGCCTCTTTCAGCACATTAAAGCCATGCCTTTGATTCTGTGCTTCATTAAACTGTCATTAGGTGAGAGGGATATCAAAATTAAAATGACTAAGAAAAAATGGTTTGATAGCTCATCATTGTAAGTCCATGTTAACAGTTAATGTTCTAAGAGGAGTTTATAATCTTACCAGTTGCAGTTGTTACTAAAAATAAATCTATGAAAAGCTTTCTTTAGCTTATGTAAAAGACATATTTGAGAGTAGATGATTTAGATAGACTTAGTGACTCTGTGCTCAATCTTTTCAGGATTAAATCCAAACATAAATAGTAAGTGAAGAAAAATGCAAGTAAAAATAGATCAGTTTAATGATGACTGCTTTGTAGTAACCAAGTGACTGCCATTTGTAAAAGACTAGTCTAAATTACTAGTGACCAAAATCTCAAGGGGAGCAATAGTATTACTTAAACTATTGTTAAGCTTATACAGATCCTTACTGGCAGCTGTCATGATCACAATTAGTTAAATACTTATTACTGATTTTTTAGATTAAAAATTTAAAAAAAAAACCAACAATGTGAAATCAAAAAATGAACTTGCTTTTGACCTCTCCACTTGAGTACACCTTGCCACTTTGGATTAGGCTGAGATACTTAAAAATAAAAGAATATAGGAATGTCTGGCACAACAACGTTCTGGTTCTATACAGTAGATACCCAGCTTTCTTCATTCTCTAGGAATCTCAGATTGGCACTTTTTACAGCTGTAGTGTACTTTTGAAATATCAAGTATCAATATGAAGAATCAGTGGACAAGGGAAGGGGTACAGATGGCATTTATCTGGATTTCTGTAAAGCCTTTGACATGGTCCCCCACAGCATCCTTCTCTCTAAATTGGAGGGAGATGAATTCGATGATGAACTGTTAGATGGATGAGAAATTGTTTGGACTATGGCTTCAAGAGGATAGTGGTCAATGGCTTAGTGGACATGGACATCAATGACTAATCGTGTCCCTCAGGGTCCGTACGGGAATCAGTGCTTTTTAGTGTCTTCATCAATGACATAGACAAGGGGATTGAGTGCACCCTGAGCATGTTTTCAGATGACACCAAGTTGAGTGGTGCAGTTAACACACCTGAAGGATGGGATGCCATCCAGAGGGACCTGGACAAGGTCAAGAAATGAGTCCCTGGGAATCTCATGAGGTTTAACAAGACCAAGTGGAAGGTGCTGCACCTGGTTCAAGGCAACTCCCAGTATCAGTACAGGCTGGGGGATGAACAAATCAAAAGGGATATTGATTGATCAGAAGCTCGACATGAGCCAGCAATGTGCACTTGCAGTCCAGAAGCTTTCATATCCTGAGCTACATCAAAGCAGTGTGGCCATTAGGTCAAGGGATGTGATTCTGCCCCTCTACCTCACTTTGGTGAAACCTCGTGTGGTGTACTGCATCCAGCTGTGGGGTCCCCAGCACAGGTAGGACATGAACCTGTTGCAACAAGTCCAGAAAAGGGCCACCAAGATGATTAGTGAGGATGGAGAACCTCTCCTATGAGGAAGGGCTGACAGAATTAGTTTTGCTCAGCCCGGAGAAGAGAAGGCTGCAGGGTGACCTAATTGTGGCGTTGCAGTACCTGAAGGGAGCCTACAACAAAGATGGAGAGAGACTTTTTACAAGGGCATATAGTGATAGGACAAGGGGGAATGGGTTTAAACTCAAAGACAGTATGTTTAGATTAGATATCAGAAAGAAATTCTTTACTCTGAGGGTGATGAGGCACTGGAAAAGGTTGCTCAGAGAAGTTGTGGATGCCCCATCCCTGAAAGTGTTGAGGACAAGGTTGGATGGGGCCCTGAGCAACCTGGTCTGGTGAAAGATGGCCCTGAAAAGGAGTTGGAACTAAATGATATTTAAGGTCCCTTCCCCAAACTGTTCCGTGATTGTATGATCCTATGAAATTAATAAAAAACTTGATGTGTCATACATACACATGCATACATATACACATTTATACACACATTTATACATATACGAGCTCTTCGTATTTAAGAATATTTTTTTAAGTTGAGGAGATGTTCAAGACAAAAGAAAAGGAAGAGTATTAATCAATCTCGGTGTAGCTGTCTGCTGGAACTCCCAAGGGCTTTGAAATCTGGTTATTTGAGGAAGGACAAAATTGACAAAATTGAAAAAATGTTAATGAAAGATTCACTATTTTAATAGTACTGCTCTGTAACTTCCTAATATAGTTACCAGTTGTCACAACATTCTTTCATTCAGAGATTAATACAGTGAATACTTAAGCATCACTGGAAAGCAGTGAGGTACTCATGCTACAGAGACACCAATAGGAGTGAATTCTATATTTTTTTGGAGCTCATATTTCTTCTGGAGGTTCAAAATAGGTGCAAAGGACTTTCTACACAGATGACATTGAAAAATTGAGGCCTAAATGTTCCATTGATTTGACGGTTCCTCACTACTAAAGCATGTGTATGCACTGCAACATAGATTAGCTATGCAACACTAATCCTTAAAATATCTACGTGAAGTGGGTGAAGTAGTATCCATATTACACCAGGAGCAAAAAAGATTTTAGGAAACTAAGGACTTGACATGGACAAGCCAGCTGAGATAAGAAATAATGAGTTTCTTGCTTCCAGTCTTCTGCAGCACCTTACAGAAGACTGAACAGTTCACTGTGAAACTAAATGAAAGCAATGATTGTGGATGTTATCTACTTAGACTTTAGTAAAACCTTTGACACCATTTCCCACATCATTCTCCTGGATAAACGGGCTGCTTATGGCTTGGATGGACGTATACTCTGCTGGGTAAAAAGCCAGCTGGATGGCCAGGCCCAGAGAGTGGTAGTGAATGGAGTTAAATCCAGTTGGCAGACAGTCACAAGTGGTGTTCTCCAGAGCTCAGTTTTGGGGCCAGTCCTGTTTAATATCTTTATCGATTATCTGGACAAAGAGATTAAATGCACTCTCTGCAAGTTTGCAGACAACACCAAGCTTGGCAGGAGTGTTCATCTGCTGGAGGGCAGGAAGGTTCTACAGGGGGATCTGGACAGGCTGCACTGATGGGCAGAGGCCAATGGTATAGGCTGAACAAGTCCTCGTGCCGGGTCCTGTACTTTGGAAACAACATTCCCATGCATTGCTACAGGCTTGGGGATGAGTGGCTGGAAAATGGCCCATCAGAAAAGACCTGGAGGCACTGGTCAACATCCAGGTGAACAGGAACTGGCATGTGCCCAGGTGGTTAAGAAGGCCAGTGCCATCCTGGCCTATGTCAGAAATAATGTGGCCAGCAGGTCTAATGAAGTGATTGGCCCTCTGTACTTGGCACTGGTGAGGCCACATCTTGAGTATTGTGTTCTGTTTTGGGCCCCTCTCTACAAAAAATACATTGAGGTGCTGGAGTGAGTCCGGAGAAGGACAATGCCACTGTTGAAGGGTGTGGAGTCCAAGTCCTATGAGGAGCAGCTTAGGAAATTGGGGTTCTTTAGCCTTGAGAAAAGGAGGCTTGGGGGGGACCTTATCACTCTCTACAACTACCTGAAAGGAGGTTGTAGTGAGATGGGAGTTGGCCTCTTCTCCCAAGACAAGTGACAGGATGAGAGGAAATGATGTCAAATTGCATCAGGGAAGGTTACATTGGATATTAGGAAAAATTTTCCATGGAAAGGGCTGTCAAACATTAGAACAGGCCACACAGGAAAGTGGTGGAGTCACCATCCCTGGAGGGATTTAAAAGACTTAGGGACATGTTTTTGTGAGGGGCTTGGCAGTGGTGGGTTAAATGCTTGGACTTTATGATATTTAAAAGTCCTATCCAACCTAACTGATTCTATGATTCTATGATTGTATCCTTCATCACAGACAAGGTGTACAATAAATTTTAGCTAGGCTAGAAAGAGTAGTCAGCACTAAAGATTAAGCCACAACTCCTTGTTTTCCATGTCTTAGATAAAGGCACCCATTCATTCTGACAGACATATGAATTTTTGCTTTAACAAATAGTATCTTTCTTGTTTTGGATGATTAAAATGCTGTTCTAGAAATTGCATCAAAACATGTTTGATTTTCTTCCCAGCACAATTAATTCAAATAAAGTCTTTAGCTTCACTTCCTTTTTACATTGTCTCAGAGTGTTTTTAAGAGCTTTTGAAAAATCACTGGTGTATTATAACTGTTTAGTGTGTAGATATCTACTTCTGTAATGTATGTAAATAGTTATTCTCATTTTGTTTTGTTTGTTTCATGTGATATGAAAAATATTTAAGGAAATGTGTACTGTTGAGTATGTATGCTTTTGTATATGTATAGTACAGATACTGCCCATTTGGGATGTAATTTCCATATTTCAACTGAAATAGTAAACACTAAATATTTTGGCAGTATTTTAGGTCATTTTCCCACATTTTTATCCACTTTGCATGCAAATTGCAGATAAATGAACTATCTTGCTTATAAACAATCCTTTCTGACTAATGTCATAAATTATTACCATTTCATGTACTGTTTACATTCGCACATTTCATTTGCATATGTTGCTGTTTATACTGATTTCTTACATTTGTCTAGTGAGATAAAATAAAGAAACCAGAGAGGTTAGCTGTGCTGTATTCATGCGGTATCATTTTGTTATTTATTCATCTAAAAATGCTACAAAGACTGGAGACCTGAAAAAATATACAGCTACTGACAAGATTCAAAATTATGAAAAAATGTTCTTGCGTGGCAACAGCAGGGACTGGGTAATTGCCATTATTTAAAAACATCTTCCAAAGATTGCTTTAAAAATCTTTACTTCTTTAATTAGAAGAGCATTGAATTTTGCTTTTATTGGTTTGAATTTGAATGATATATTTGTTGCTTTTATACAATAACTGGGTTATTACGTCAAGGTTGGATTTGATCATCTTGGAGGTCTTTTTCAACCTTAGTGATTCTATGATTCTAACTCAATGTCTTGAAATTTCACCCAGTCTACAGCATTTAACAGTTAATGTAGGGTATTTATAAAAGAAAACATGTTCTTCTCTGTTTCTGTTAACGTGTAATAGAAACCTGAGCAATAACAAGATTACAGATATCGAAGAAGGGGCATTTGATGGAGCCTCTGGTGTGAATGAACTATTACTCACCAGCAACCGCTTGGAAAGTGTTCGACACAAAATGTTCAAAGGATTAGAAAGTCTCAAAACACTGTAAGTGTAATTATTTGGGTGTTTTTATTCTTACTTTCTTCCAGGTATTTTTTAAAGTAATATTCTGTATGTCCTAAAAAAATTGATTTTGGAGAATTAACTATGGATTATTTAAGCATATCTTAGGTTTTGTTCCTATTATGCAAGAAGTTATATATTATATTAATTTGTTGATTATTAATTATGGGTATAATAAGTCTTCTAAAATGACGAAGCAGTTGAGAATGGGTAAACATCCAACTTCAGAAGTGGAAATGGGAATAATCATCTGCATCAAAGTAACAGAATTTTGCACAGAAATTACACATTCTACATAATGGAGTCTGATTCAAATCAGCTCAACCATTACCGGGAATTTTGCTAGAGGAAAAAATTGTTCGGGTGGATATTGAAATGTGGGAAATTATTCTCTCCTAAGTAATTTTTATGTCATTTCAACAGTGAAGGGAGGATTAAAAGCACTATAGCTTGAACTCATTTCATTCTTTCCATGAGGCAGTTCAGTTCTTTCCACTCAAAAAAAATAGGTGTTTATACAATCTACAGATTCTTGGCCTTTTTCATAGATCCCGTCCTTCTGATCTGCAGAGCAGAACCAAAATTAAATGGTCTTTGGGGCTTCAGCTGTCCATAGACGTTAGGTGTTTTTAATAAATCAGGTCTACAATTTCTAACCTCGCAGTAAAAGCTGCTAAAATTATTTAAAGCAGCTAATCTTAGAAAAGAGCATGGGGAAAAATTATTCTTTCTTGATGGACAGAGACGAGAACAACAAACTTCAAAGCTCATAAGTTTTATAGAAATTAGAGATTTTAGAATAGGTATTTCTTACTTAGTATTCTGAAATTTGTATTAAACCTTAGAGTCATGCTTAGGAGGAGTCAGGTTAGCCTGATTTCATTTAAATTAAATCCTTCAGAATGCAGTAGAAGTAGTTTCTAGAATTTTCCTAAGAAAAGTGAGGTCAGAGGGGCCTCAGGAGGAGGTCATCTGGTACAAGCTTCTGCTCTATATACATAGCAGTTCTGGAGTCATTAACCTTGGAAACATGAAGATGTGTATGTCTGATTTGGGGAATTTCAATCAGTTTCATTTCTTTTCAGTTAAAAAGCCATAATTATTGATTCTGGTATTGAAAATAAAAATGCTTAGGGGAAACTGGAACAGGTTGCCAAAGGGCATTGTGGAGTCTCCTCTGGAGATACTCAAAAGCCATCTGGACACAGTCCTGAGTAACATGCTCTAGGGGACCCTGCTTGAGCAGGGAGGTTTGACCAGATGACCTCTGGTGGTCCTTTCTAACCTTACCCATTCTGTGATTCTGTGAAGCACCCCTTGCCTCTGTGAAACCTACCCACCCACCTACCTTTCTGTCTTCCAATCACCTCCACACACACTGCACCTAGTCCCTTCAGTGAAGTGACACGTGGCACAGGGGTCACTGCACTTGTGGTCCCTTCACTGGTGGCAACCCATTCCTCTTGGCCCTTGCTCCAGCAACCACTTCAGCTTCTGCCCCTGTTTGACCTAAACTAAGAAATACTGATCCTTCTTTCTCAGGATGTTGAGGAGCAACCGGGTGAGCTGTGTGGGAAACGACAGCTTCACGGGCCTGAGCTCTGTCCGTCTGCTCTCACTGTATGACAACCAGATCACCACCGTGGCCCCCGGCTCCTTCGACACACTGCATTCGCTCTCTACCTTGTAAGTCACGTTCGTCTTTTACTGTAGCCAAATTTAAATCTCTGACATTTTGGGGGCCTTTCCCTTAATGATTTGCTCTATAATTTTGCAACATGTGGTTAAGGGGAAAAAAAGTTAAAGGTAAGGAAAAGAAAAAGAGTTTATAGAGGGATTTTTAGGAAAGTTTATTCTCTGGGCCGTCTTGGGCACTTAAGAGTATGTTTTCATGGTGCCCTGTGATGCAGCATTAGACTGGTTTCCAGAAGTGCCTGAGAAGGCAGGAAAAACATCCTGCTCACCCCCCTCGCAGAAGCCCACTACTCCGAAACCGGGTTGAAAGCCACATTTTGGGTAGGCAATGCACAATCACAGCTGGTTGAATCACCATGTTGTCTGCCTTTCTGCCCTGTGCCACCCAATTACTATCTTAAATTTCTTTGGCCTGCTGAGAATCTTAATTCATACATGTTTTATAATGAACCTTCAGTCTCATTTTCTATTTAAAAAAATCTCTTTTTTTCTTTAAATGTGATGTAATTTAAGTGAAAACAGTGAGCAAAGCTGCCACAGTTTAATGAAGAAATGCAGGTTGTAGGTAGCATAATTCAGGAAAGTACTTAATCCCCTTTTTACGTAAAAAGTGACACCTTGCACCCGGTGACTAATTTTGCATATTAAGGATGACATGTTTATAGATAATAGAATCGTTGATAGATGTGTGCTGAAGTAAGGAGATGCCAAAAGTACTGGACTTTTGGAAGTAAATTCATTTTTGTAACTGGCATGTAATCAACTTAGCTGTCACTTCAGATAGGAAACTTATTCTCTGGAGCAAATAAAAGATGGAAATCCTGAGATGGTAAATTAACGGAATAGCTGTTGTCGGGTTAAAGCTAATAATGTAAAGTAATCAGCCTGCATCTCTATATGAAATTATTGCATTATCAGTACAGAGTGGCTTGACATGAACTCAGGTCTTTGACAGTTTTAAATTATTTCTAAATGAGTTGTATCAAGATTCCTCACACAGAGCCTAAATTACAGCTTTCATCTATGGTTTGTGCATAGTACTGTTTGAAGAACAGAGTTTAAGTTCAGCTTTTTGAAAATAAAAATAGAATGCTTAGGATGAAAAGATGGTGTCACCTGAGGTAAACTTTCCTGTGGTTCTCAGAAACCTCTTGGCCAATCCCTTCAACTGCAACTGCCATCTCGCGTGGCTTGGAGACTGGCTAAGGAAGAAACGCATTGTGACGGGGAACCCTCGCTGCCAAAAACCCTACTTCCTCAAAGAGATTCCTATCCAGGATGTGGCAATTCAGGATTTTACATGTGATGATGGTAAGAAGATTAATATTTGAACCTTTTATAATTTCAGCTTTCATGTGTATAGTGTAATGATTCCCATAGATCCCAAAGAGTTGTGCTTTAAAGAACTTCATCAGCACTCCGTGCTGTTTCTATATCGGTTTAAATATCTTCCACTCGTTTTTGTATGATCAGCATTCACAGGCTGTTGTATGTATGCTTTCAAAAGTTTTTCATGCCTATATTTAGTACTGTAAATAATAATTTAGAAGCAATACAAAAAACTAATCAAATGTTAAAGTTGAGATGAGAATATTTTCAAATGCTAATGCTTGAATCAAGGATGCTTTCAGGTTATTTGATCAAATAATGTGACATTTTGCCTAGCTTGTGACTTCACTAATGCTTAATAAAGAAAAAAAAAGGCTGCTATCTTGCATTTCTCACACGTGCTTCCATTTACTGCATTAATAGTTTGCAATTTTCAAGGCTGTATCTTTTTTTTAAAGAGACTGTTTTTAGTAGTTTGTTAATTTTATTTTCTTTCATTTCAGGTTTTATTCTTTCTTTAATGATTTTTTTTCCATATAATAGCATTCTTTCCTAGTAAAACGGCATTGTACTAAGTAAAGCATAACCTGAAATGTCAATTCTTGGAGCAATGGTTTACAGAGCTAATGTGATTTTTTCCCTACCTTGAGATATTATAATGTAGAAATAACATGTTTAGTTAAAGAAAATCCATGTGGGCTATCATTGCTAATATTGAAGTGACATTTATTAGCAAGCTTAGCATCTGTTCATTTTTATTAACCAGGAAATGATGACAATAGCTGCTCTCCACTGTCCCGCTGTCCTGCAGAATGTACTTGTCTGGACACAGTAGTTCGCTGCAGCAACAAAGGCCTAAAAGCTTTGCCTAAAGGCATCCCAAAAGATGTAACTGAACTGTAAGTGGCACCCTTTTTTCCCTTTTATGAAAATTATGAAAGTGTCAGATTTATATTGTCAGGTTCAAGAATAAGGGGAAAAGGAAACAAAGAATTGAATTCAGTAGATGAGTCGAAATTTGTTAATCTACCACTTTATAAAGACTTCCACATAATGTTGAGAAATTTGAGATTAAGTTTGAATTAACACTGAACCATTGTACAGCTGAATGTGGATATCATGTTAAAATGGGTTAAATTATGGACAACAGTGAATCTGATTAACCTTTGGTCACTGGTTAAGGACTGAAGTTCAATTACATAAAAAAGCAAAGAGAAAACAATATATTAATGTGTTCATAAACTTTTGTATTGAACGTGGGTTTTATACCTCTAAGTTACTTCTTTTATAACTCCAAATCAACAGTGAACCACCCTAATCCTCTAAATCAACAGCCTTCATCTTTATCAAGGAGTTCAAGTTGCCACATGTTAACTGGGAATACCACACAGCTGGCACAAACAGGTCCAGAAGATTCCAAAAGCACCTGGACAATAGCTTTATGGTACTAAGGGAGCTGACTAGGAAAGGTGCTCTCCTTGATTTGTTACTTGTTAATAAGACAGTCTTGTGAGTGAAGTGCAGCTGGTGTCCATCTTGGCCGCAGTGATCATGAAGCAGTCGAGTTTATAATCTCTGTTGACAGAAGGAAAAGTGCCAGCAAAACTTCAGCTGTGGATATGAGGAGATCAGACTTCAGGCTGCTCAGGGAACTAGTGAGTAAGATCCCCAGGGGAAATGTTTTTGAAGGTACTGGAATTCATCAGTGCTGGTCACTTTTAAGTACCACCTGCTAAGAGCAAAAGAGCAAGCATTTGGAAAATATCAAAAGTCAGGTAGGTGAGGCAGAAGGCTGCCTGGGCTAAGCAAGGATCTTCTGGAGATGAGGCAAAAATGTAAAGTGGATGTCCAGTGGAAAAAAGGTCAGGTGAAATGGGAGGAATATAGAGGTGTTCCTTACCACTGTGGGAAGAAAATGGGTGCAGCCAAAGCCAAATTGGAGTCGAAACTGGCCAGTACTGTTGGGAACAATAAAGAAAGCTTTTTTAAATGTGTCAAAAGCAAAAGCCAGTCCAGAACTAACACTGGCCCATTATTTGATGTTAGTGGTCACCTACAAACAGGGACATAGACAAAGCAGAGATGTTAAATGCTTTCTTCGTTTTGGTCTTCAACACCAGTGATGTGCTCTGAGAGTCCCAGTGCCCTGAGCTGGAGGACCATGATTGTGAGGACAGTTAACTCCCTGCCAACCTCAAACTTGAAAAGGATTTGCTGTTCCTGCTGGATCTCTATATATCTATAGGTCCTGATGGGATTTATCCAAGAGTACTCAAAGAGCTGGCTGATGTCATTGCAAGGCCTCTCTCAATGATTTTTGAATGTTCTTGGGAATCTGCAGAGGTCCCAGTCAACTGGAAGTTGGAAAATGTTGTCCCAGTTTTTGAGAAGGGCAGGAGGGTAACCTGGTAACCAAGACCCTGATAACTACAAGCCTGTCAGTCTCACTTCAGTGGGAAGCAAAATTATGGTGAAGAAAGGTTCTTCACCCAGAGGGTGGTTGACCACTGGAACAAGCTCCCCAGGGAACTGGTCACAGGACCAAGCCTGTCAGAGTCCAAGAAGCATTTGGACAATGTTGTCAAGCACATGGTGTGATTCTTGGGGCTGTCCTGTGCAGGGCCAGGAGTTAGACTCGATGATCCTGGAGTGCATTGGGAAAAGTGTGACCAGCAGGTCGAGGGATGTGATCCTCCCCTTCTCGTCCGCCCATGTGAGGCCACTTTTGGAGTATTGTGTTCAATTCTGGTCTCCAGCAGAGGGTCATTAAGATGTTTAGGGGTCTGGGAAATCTCTCTTATGAGGGGGGACTGCAGGATCTGGGCCTGTTTAGTCTAGAGAAGACTTGAGAGGGGATCTCATCGATACATACAAATATCTCAAAGGTGGGTGTCAAGAGGATAGTGCCAGACTCTTTCAGTGGTGCCCAGCGACAGGAGAAGGAGCACTGGCCATAAATAAACCACAAGAACTCAACGTGAGTTCTTCCACAACATGAGGATGAACTTCTTTACATTGAGGGTGGCAGAGCACTGGAACAGGCTGCCCAAGGAGGTTGTGGAGTCTCCCTCTCTGGAGACATTTGAAACCCACCTGGATGAGTTCCTGTGTCACCTGCTCTAGGTGTCCCTGCTTTGGCAGGGGATTGGACTGGATGATCCCCAGAGGTCCCTTCCAACCGTAAAAATTCTGTGATTCTGTGATCCTTCCAGCTCAAGATATTCTGTAATTCAGTGATTATGATAGTTTTGTGATATTTCAAAAATACTGAAATACTAGAAAATTTTCCTTTACACACAGGCAGTAAGGAATACAATATACAATCTGGGATATTTTATTATTCTTTTGATACATTTTTCTGTGAGAAAAATGTTTAAGATTGCATTTTATGAAACGTATAATTTGAATATGCAGGTGGACATTAACACCGATATAAAAAAGAACTTGTATTGTTTGAAGATAATAACTGAATAAGCTACTCATAAGACTAGATAAGTCAATTTTTATGCATTATGAAAGGGAAAACACAAACCTAAAAATTGAGTTATTCAATTGTTTTGAATCTTGATCAGATAGGTCACATATTGAAAGAAATAGATAAAAAATTATTTACAAGAAAAAAGGTTGGTTTGTGTTATATATGGCAAGTATTTAATAAGGTTTCATAATGCCTGGTTAATGTAGTGCTTTTGCAGAAGACATCATAACTGTGTATCTTAAGTTACTAAAAAAGTGACTAAAGTAACACCAAAAAACATGACTGTTTTACAGTTTGGTATTATGTAGAAAATTCTGAGATGTCTCTCCACCATTAGTCTGGTGCATAATAGCATCCAAAAAGCATTAGTTGTTAATAAAATGAAATTGCTAAGAACTCAAATTAGCATACAGCTATATAAACCTATAGCTTACTTCATTAGGTTTTGGTTTTGGTGGGTTTTGGTTTTTTTTTTTCTAAAAGAGAAGATTACTTCATTGAATATAGTCTGGTATAATAAATACAATTTGGCAATATAAGGTCATCAATGCAATGTAAAACTAAGCAGCCAGAGAGAGATACTTTTGGAATTGCAAGTGGAACCCTGTGATTGAAAATTCATTTGTGTACAATTTTGTGTGCTTTAATTAGTATCTAAGCATGCAATTTAGCATATTTTTCAAGAGGATGATGGAGGTGGTTTCTGTTAACAGTTGCATACTAATTGATTCTTCTTGCTCACTAGTATGCATAACTCTTCTGAGATGTATTTTTCATGTGTTTGATAAAATATCTTAATAGTTGCTTCCTTTGAACAAGGAGGAATTTTTATCAGGCAAGTGGATACTTGTAGTACTTCTGTTCTAATGAAGCTAAAGCAATATAACCTAATTTATCTGTCATAGAAGAATTTCCTCACAATACTTACTTCTTCAAAAAGTTTAAAAGTTGGTTTGGTTTTTTTATAATTAATTATAAAAAATAATTAATTTTTAAATTAATTTTAAAAGAGAGCTTTTCCTATTAGAAGTAGATGGTTATTTCATTAAGTTTAACTGAGTGTCAGCTCATCCATTTATGTTTCCAAAGATGTTACAGCACACATAAAGATATTAGGCTCAAAATAAAAGTAAAAAAGTCTCTATCGAAGGCCACTCTTAACTCAAGCATGTTCCAAGTATTTGGATGGCTAAAATATCTTCTTTGTATTGGGATAATAAGGGTGTAGTTTTCACTTGGGTTCCAGGAGACATGAGTAGTACTACCATGAGCAAGTCATTTGCCCCAGATGAGAAACTAAAGACCTCTAATCTTCTTGCCACTATCTGCTTCATTTCAAAGAACCAGGTTAATTCAGCACTTCTTATCATCTCTAAACTACTTGCCCTGGTTACATGAAGAACCCCTCCAATCCGACTGCTATGTCTGGCTGCACACTGGGAGCTTTTTAGGCGAAGCTTGTTGCCTTTCTTTACCTGTAACGGGGGTGCTGATATAGTTTGATGGTTCTGTATCCATTAACTCTAAGGATGAACAAGTCTGTTATTGAAAATTATGAGCATCAGAGAAGAGTGAGCAGTATAATAGAGGAGCTGTGAACCTACAAAGGGGAGTGTGGGGCGGGGGGGGGGGGACGGAATCTAACTTTTCTAGTGAAGAGTAGTTGATGACTCTCTTTAGTCCATAATGTACTCCATAGGAATAGGATTGTGGTATGTTAATTACCGATGTATCATGAAATACACAGGGATAAATCAGGGAAGGTGACCTGAACTACAGGCATGACAAATGAATTTACTGTTAGAGCTAAGACCAGACCTTGCTGTTTCAGCTGTAAAGGACTGTCTCTGTAATATCAGGATCTGTTTCTATTTATGATAGCTCAAAATCCACACTTAATGTGACTTGCAGAAGTCAGATTTACTTTTCAGCTATAGATGTGTGGGAAATGGAGATGATAAAGACCTCATTTTGCAGAGTCTTTATGAAATAATAGAAACTATTATGTAAGAGTTGGGTTTTATTACTGTTACTTCACAGTATTAATGATATATAGTAGCATTTGAATCTTAGGCTACAGAGCCTTGTGTCTCTAAAAAACAAAATTTGTAAGCAAGGTTTCTTTTAAAATAGAAATAGTATGTGTTCATTTGCTATTAACTTTACTGTTGGATTCTGAGATTAGTGGATGAAGATGCTACTATTTTAATGAAATACATAATGCTATTTGTTTTATTTTCCTCTTTTAGTTATTTGGATGGAAATCAGTTTACCCTTGTTCCAAAAGAGCTTTCCAACTACAAGCATTTAACACTCATGTAAGTAGTTTTAGAGCAACTTTCTCTACTGGAATTAAAAACTAAACAAAACAAAATACCCTACTCAATTATACCTGATTTTATGTATAAGAAAAATCCTGTAAAATATATCATATCTTTCAGCAAATATAATACCCAACCATGTTTTATAACTGTGGATATTTTATTCCACTTATCACTTCTTACATATAATAGACTTGGTCACATTTTATGAACAGGGGTATTTCACTCCAGTGATTACATCACAAAGTAAATAACCAGAAATTATAGTTACCCACAAAAGAGACATAAGATCTTATAAAGTCAGGGTAATTAGAGTAAGGTGTTAGGGTAATACAGCATTTTTTAACACAGCTCCATGAAAGCACTAGAATGATTTAATTTACAGAAGAAGCATTCAGTGGTATGCTTCACTCCATGCTATGCTTTGTGTAGGAATGCCACATATTCTGTTTGTCCCACAATATATGGTTTTCATGACTCAAGAAGAGAGCTTGTATAAGATGCCTTACTGACAACTCCGTCACTGACTCACTATGTGATTTGAGGCAAATCATTAGTTGCTCTAAAATTTATTACCTCTACTTCATGAATGGTATGAATATGATTTCTGTACCTTCTAAGTGTACAGTGGGAGAAACAGGAAGATGTAGATGTAAGTGACTGTAATTCCATGGTCTTTGTTAGGACTATAAAAATTTATACCAGCTGAGGTTGAACTGCGTTACACTCTGAAAGCAGTTTGTGGTTTCATTATAATCAGAATGAAAAGGGGAGGGGAATAACAGAATCCCTTAAATTTCTTTTTGATTGGGTTTAGAGCTTTGCTGCAAAATTTGAAAATAGTTTGGCATTCAAAAACAAGAGCTCAATTTCCTTTATTTCCCTCATGCTAGACAAAAATAGTCACAATCATAAATTAAAAAAAAACACCTTTACGAATATTCTGTTTTTCAAATAACATCAGGAAAAAACCCTTGCAATCTTCTCAAATGTATGCAGTGTAGAGCCTGTAGGAAGTCTTTGTGAATTGTTTAGGGAAGTTATACAAGATCTAATTTGCAGCACACATAAAATATATACTTTGGAACCTCTGTATGAGAAACGGTGGACTGAGCGCAGTAAGAGTATCAGTGGAGACTGGATATATGTCTAGAGATAAGGTTACTTAGAAGCAAAGTGACAAGGCTTCCATCACAGACCTGTGGGGCACATTATTTTAAATTCTTCTGTATGTTTACTCATACTGCTGTTACAAAGTTGAGAATGTTCTTCAGCTGTGTTTGAAAAACAAGACCACTATGCATAGTGCTTCTGTGGCCAAAGTACATACGAGTCTCCTGAGTTCCACATTAACAAGGAAATTTGTTTATTTTTAACTTTTTCTTTCTCTTTTGAATAGATTGCTTTGTTATACTTGCCTAATATGTTTATTGTTCTGAGTCATTTGTCTTTCATGAAAATTTCAAGCAGACAAATATGCATATTGCATATCTATTCAACCATACTCTTAAGTTAAAATATCAAGGTTCCCTCAGAAACAAAGGCAGTATTTCACCACAAAATTCAGAAGCAATAGTGAAATAGTCAACATAGAATGAAAAGTAAAGCAAAATATGAGAATAAAGAATAGGCAGTATTCACATTTAATACAGCTTCTATGAAGCTGCCAGCATACCACTCCAGCTCTCATCGTCCTTGTGCTTTAGATTTTATTCATCAGAATATTGACGAAGAAAGATGTTAAGGCTTTCTATATAAATTTTAGATCGAATTCTTTACAATAATAGCTCTGGGCGTCAATGTCTTCAGCATATAAGTGTTAAGTAGAGTATTAGATGATCTTTACTCAGGTATCATTAGGGGCGTGACTAGAATGGCTTCCACTTTAAAACATCACTTTCGTTTTGTACTTGATTTCATGTAGGATTGCATTATTAACTCGGTAGCATGATGGACTTTGCTATTGTATAAGAATGCATTGGGCTGCTTTTTCATCTGTGTTGAAATGAAAATGCTTTTTATTGATCAAGCTAAACAATTGCTAGGCTTGTATATGGCATGTGAATAAAAATAGGTGCTGCTTTAAATATTGATATCAAGGGATGATACTATTTCTACTAATAAAGATAATGTGTCTGTCAATTTAACTTACAGTGTTTCAGGACTGGGGCAGTCATTTTAAGGTCTGAATTTCTGAATTTATTTTTTAGAGATTTAAGTAACAACAGAATCAGCACTCTTTCTAATCAGAGCTTCAGCAACATGACTCAGCTGCTCACCTTGTAAGTTTAAACATGTAACAGTGACTCTTTGAAAGCGTTACAGTGGGTTTTTTTGGTCTTGGAAAGACTGGGCATGTAGTTGATATTAAAGCTTGCTTGTTTTGGAGGCTGTAAAATAACTTGTTTCCTAACTAGCTATTTATGCAAAAGCTGATTTTGGTCATGCTCTGCATTGTTTACTGAATGACTGATATACTTGCTGACAGTATTTTATATGTTTTCAGAATTCTTAGTTACAACCGCCTAAGATGTATCCCTGCACGGACTTTTGATGGGCTGAAATCACTTAGGTTGTTGTAAGTATTATTTTTTAATCACTGCTATTTTACAGAATTTTTATTTATGTACAGCAGGTAGCAGATCCATAGGAAGTTAACAGCTTTTAAAACTTGTCAAATATTTGGGAAGTGATAATTACATAGCCTTAAAAATGTAAGTGGCTTCATTCTTGGAAAGTATAATCTCAAAATGCTTCACAAGAAGTTATGTGACCCTGGAGAACATTTTAGATACAGACATACACTTTTTATTTTTCTGCTTTCTAATTTTACCCGTATTTCTTTTTTTGTGTTATGTTCTTCCTTGTTATAAGCATTAAAATCTAGCAAAAATGCCATATGCATAAATTCTATCAGTATATATGAGACGGTTTTGCAGTTGAATTTTTAATATTTTATTCCAGCACTAAATTTCTTTCTGTCTTGTTTCATTTAATGTGGGAGTATTTCCAAAACAATGGCATCATGGTTAACTATTGAAAATCAATAACATTACTTTTCGGTTCCAAGAAAACTTTCCATTTTACCACTAAGAAAAACATGGTTGAAAGCCACAGAAAGGGACAAAGGAAAATAAAGAACAGTCAGTCTAATTTACAGTTTCAGTTTGTCATTAAGAAAAAAGCCTGCAAAAAATCTTTTTCAAAAGTCCCCAGTAGAATATGTAATTTTAGCTTTCATTTGGGTAATTTATAACCATTTAAGATCTTAGTTGGATTAAATGTCTCAAGTATGGCATTATTTAAGTGTGCTCTCATAACTTCAGTTATTTAATATAAATGTGGATAATTTCAAGAACTATAATTTTATATGTGTTAGATATTCATGTAACTGAATGAATTTATAGAAAAAGGGTGATATTTTTGTGCAGGCTTGCTACAAGAGAGAGAACACTATTGCCAGTATTGATGCTTAATGAAGTCTTTCATTCTCTACCTCTACTATCAAATTAGGACAACAGCCTTAATATTTAAATTAATGAGCAGTCAATACCTGTATTTTCCACAAATCCATGAAAGATTTAAAAGAACATATGGACATAATTACTGAGAATTTCAAGGAGTTGCAGAAAAAGAATTAATAACTCTTCTACTATCTCTAAATCCAATCAGTACTTTGCAGAAGTGTGCCTACTTTATTGACTTTTATTTGTTAATTTAAAATAATCTCAGTATTTACATTTCTTATGAAAATTCAGGATGCAAAAAATCAAATGACAAGTAGGCTGCCAGTTAGAGCTTAAAAAAAACTCCAAACAACAAGCAGCTGGAAACACCAAGGAACTGGAATTGGAAGAAAAAAATATGAAAAGCTGAAAACTGTTTACAGAAGATGAAATTTGCCAAGTTAACCAGTTGATTTTTATGCATATATTGTGTTTATTTTCTTTTTAAGATCTTTACATGGAAATGATATTTCTGTTGTTCCTGAAGGAGCCTTTAATGATCTTTCAGCATTATCCCACCTGTGAGTATTCAGATGTTAACTGTATTTTTTTGTTACGTTTAGCAAATTTCCTATAATCAAACAAAGACAGGATGCAAAGGACTTCTCTGGAAGAAGCACATGCATCTCTAGAGGCTGGGGGCTAGCCAGAGAAAAATCCTGGGCCTGCTTCTGGGCTGCAAATTAAACCTGTGTATCATGTGCCCTAATGGCTATGAAGGCTAAGGACACTGGGCTGAATTACAAAGTGAGTAGCCAGGAGACTGATCACTCCCTTCTGCTTGGCCCTCCTAAGGCCACATCTGGAATATGGGTTCAGTTTCTCTAGCACAAAGCAGTGTGGGACAAACAGTGTGAGCTGTGAGGAGAGTCTGCAGGAACTGGGTTTATCTAGCCTGGAGAAGGGGATGCCAAGGAGCTCTCTAATAATTAGTCTTTAAGCCTTTGACAATTACAGCAGTGTTGGAGACAGCTTTTTCTCAGAGGTGCACAGTATAAGAGTAAACCATCACAACCTGCGACAAGGAAAATTTGATTGAACATAATGAAAAATTCTTCACTGTGAGGATGGTTCAGCTCTGGAACAGGTTGCCCAAAGAAGCAGGAGAATCTCCCTCCCTAGCGATTTTCACAGCTCAGCTGGACACAGCCCTGAGCAACCCTGACTGTGCAGGTAGCCCTGCTTTGTGCAGGAGGTGAGACTAGATGACCTCCAGAGTGCCCTAAATTATTCTGTGATTCTGTATTGGTGTCTGTTAAGTTGACATTAAACACATGGCATCTGATTTCAGAATGTAGTTTGAGGCAATGTTTTTCCGGTTTTTAATTTTCAGTGGGAACCTAAATTAGAACAAGCTGCCTTCTGCAAATCTTTTTGTGTTTATGAGTAGTTATTAAGTCTTTGAGAAGTAATTTGACTAGTACCTTTAGATATATCTGGGATTTTAAGTTTCTGAACAGCGCAGTTGTTAAAAATGTAGTTATCTGTTTCTGGTGCACTATTGGACATTTCTCAGAAATTTGATACTGATTAAGCTTTCAGTTGTTGATAATTCATTCAAATGCTACTATTTAACTAGCTTATCTGTAGGAAGTATCAGTAAAACTTATATTGGTTTGATTGGTATTGCTGGTATTTTTTTCTTAATGGCTGCCAGTTATCCTTGCTAACACTCTGATTTTAGCAGGGCAATTGTGTTATCTCAGTTCAGGCTGCCATTGACTCCTGTACATATGGAGTGGAAAAATTCTAGGTTTCTCCTTGCATGGAAAGTTCCCTGTCACTAAGTCTTATTTTTGTTACTGCTCTGACTTAAGCCTGACTGAACAAATACGTATATTTTCTTGAGTTCAGCTGTAATGTAGGAAAATTATGAGAGAGCTTCCTACTCAGTGGGGCAGAAAAGAGTGTTTCAGCACTGGTAGTTTCTATTGCCTTTGCTTGCCAAAGACTTTCTTGTATCTCTAGAAGACCCACTGACCCAAGATGTGCAACAATCCGAAAAAAAGTACTGAAACATCTGGAGAAGGAGGATGTTCTAATACTGCAATTTGACAGTGTTTGCACATGTAGAGATTATCTGTTGAAAGTTCTGGGATTATTGTATTTCTTAAAAGGAACATAAGTATATGGAACATTCTATATCTTTATAGAATAGCACAATGCTTCTGTCCTCCAAATTAACTACAAAATGTATCATTGTTGTCAGACTTTTAAGAGTATTTATGGTTTCTAGCAGAGAAAATAAAAACTTAAAAAAATGTTACAGAAATTAATTCTGAAAATCTCCAGCGAAATTTTTTTAATTAAAAAAATCAGAAAGATCATCATTTAAAGAAATGGATATGCTTTCATAATGGTAATGTAGTTTTATTTACTTGTGCAGCAGAGAACTCTTACAGAATTCTGCACATAGTTGTGAGTTCAGTGGGAGAGCTCCAAAGAGGAAATAATTAAATCAAATTTGTAAGCTTAAAAACAGATGGTTTATACCAGTCTGGGAGCCATAAACTTAAAAGGAAAAATATCAGGGCACAACTCTGTGGACTTGCGTTGGCTGCTTCAGAAGAAATACTTTATTCTTGCTAACCTAATTTCGCAGTATCAGTTTCATTCTGCTCATGCAGCTGATCTTTGCCATTACATGCCAATGGTGAAACAGAGCTAGTTAGTATAAGCTCACCAAAGTTCACACCTGGTGCAGTTAAGAATAATGAGGTTTCTGGATCAAGTTTACTGATAAAACTATCACTTCTTGATCCAGAACCCAAATCGAGACACTTAGTGCTCTTACAGGCATGTTGGTGGTGGGAGAGTAGGTTTGTGATTTGAATGTTTTTTTGCCAACCTATTTTCTGGATTCTCTTTTAAAAAGCAACCATTTAAAGCTTGATTTCCTTTTTCATTTGTCTATTTTCCACAGGGCTATTGGAGCAAATCCTCTTTATTGTGATTGCAACATGCAGTGGCTATCTGACTGGGTAAAATCAGAATACAAAGAACCTGGTATTGCACGTTGTGCTGGTCCTGGAGAAATGGCAGATAAACTTCTTCTCACAACTCCTTCTAAAAAATTTACTTGCCAAGGTACTGTTGCTATTTTTTTCTCTTTGAAGTGTCAATTTTGAATTTTTACAAATAGTTGAACTGTAAATTAAGACTGTTATGTGCTCTAAATACATTTATTATAGCATCTTCACTAAACCTTGTCATCATTATTCCTCATACTTAGGGATGTAGTCGTTGGTTCCATTCAGGAACTGCATTTATTTTAAAGATTTCAACGCCTATATCTTTTAAAATAGATGGAGAAAAAAGTCTTTGGATTTGCAGTACAGTATTCCTCACTACGTGATGTACAAATGTACTTTGTACTGCCTCAGCCATGCTACAGTTTAAACATCTACACTTCCCTTGGCCTTTTTCCTCCCAACCATTTACAGTAAAAACTGTAAATACATCTATAATCCTTGCGGTCTGAAATGAAAAGCATCAATATGGCCAGAATGCCTCCTCTTATATTTCAGAAGAAAGTATAAAAAGGGAAAAAAAAGCAACAAGAAAAAAGTAGATAAAGGAATGTGATAATCTATAGAAGTCTCATTCTAAAATGTTGTTAAATGGGCGGGTTTCTAAGGGTATTTATCCCCATGTTGGTGCCAGAGTTGCTGGCATTTATATCACAACTCATATTACTGTAATTTCCTAGATTCTTTTTCTGAACTGTACTATTTCTTTTTAGAAAAGTTCCTTTTTTACTTACATCAAGTGAGAATTTGGTTTGTTTATTGTTTAATCTTCCTCTATTCCATTTGTTTCTCCATTCTTAATTATTTTGAAAACACACAAAACTGCTACTGTAGCCTCATTTTTCTTGGTCCTTATTTAGAAACACTGAAATCCCAATTTAAAAAAAAATTGTGTTCTTATACCTGTAAATCATTACAAAGCTCATAGTAGTTTCTGAGGCATTGGATAAATATGATCTTTAATCTTATTTAATCTAATCTTTAATCTTTAATCTTGTAGAATTAACTGATTTTCAGCATCTAGGTAATCTTCAAGCTGTTTTGATTTATTCATCTGTTAGCGTATCTTCAAATGTGAGCTTAATCCCTTTGTAATTTTTGTCTTAAAAAAGCAGTGGGACTTTGTCAGAGTTTGTCTCATTTAAAGTTGTTCTTTACTGCATGTTCAGCCTATTTAGTCTCCTCTTTAGACCAGTCAGAAACTTTTTTTTCTTTTTCTTTTTTTTTTTTTTTTTTTTTTTTTGTGAACAAAAACCACTGGAACCCATCTCGTTACTTGTAATTCCAATGAAGTTTCTGTCCTTCCAAATCCTCTTCCAGTTTTTCAGCAGTACATCTCTGAGGTCATGCCAGTGTTCATTGCATTTGATACTCATCTGTTGCAAAGTCTCTTAGCTTGGTTTTACATAGGACATTTGCTAGCCAGTCTGGTCATTTTCTTTACAAGCATCCACTGAACATTATTGCAGATATGCTCTTGTTGCACGCTGTTGTAGGGATATAAGTGAAAGAATATTTGTATGGACATGAAGGATCTGCTTAGTTTTTTTCCAGTTCTGATAGTTTTAAAAACCGTATCCAGTTCTGATAGTTTTAAAAACTGTATCCAGTTCTGATAGTTTAAAAACAATGCCTGCAGTCATTATTATATTTCAGTCAGACAATCCAGAGAGTATATCTTACTCCCTCTTGGCCATCAGAAAATATCCTTTATATTATTGTTCAGGGTAAGAACTGTGTGTTTGTTTCACTTCCAAGAGTGGAGATCTAGTATTATGGATACCTTTGAGAGAAAATAGTTGTTCTCCTATTGTCCTATGAAGATCCTCCTAATTACAGGTTGCAAATCAGCACCTTTTCAATGACATGATGGCCCCGTAAGACATTATGTCTGTTACTCAAAGATAAGTAATTTTATCTTTTGCTTAAAAATGTATTGCTGAATAATATAAATTAGGAAGATGCTATATTCCTATTAGAACCAACATTTTAGGCTATGAGTGAGAGGGCTATTTTCAGAGTATCTGTGGATGGTCTGCTACAGTATATATATTTATGGAAAAAGAGTAATGTGTAATTCCCTCTTTTTGGTGTCTATGGATTCAATTGCAAGTGAAATTGGTGCCCAAATTTTACCCACATAATGCATAGTTCCCAATGAAAATGGCATTTTAAAATAAAGTCTCATCTCAGTTGTAAAGCTCCATAAAATCACTGTACCTTACTCTAATTTTATTAATTCTTTTACTCAAGGAATCATCTCTTAACATTTTCTTCTTTCAGTTATTTTTCTGTTTATGGGCGGGTTTTTTCTTTCTTTCTTTCTTTCTTTTTCTCTCTTTTTCTCACTTTTTCTCTCTTTTTCTCTTTCTTTTTCTCTCTTTCTTTTTCTTTCTTTTTCTGTCTTTTTCTTTCATGTGGCCTCTAACAGCTTCTCAATCTTTTACTTTTGCCTCTTAACCATCCATGCCCTGCTTCTAGAGATTCCAGGGCCTTGTGGTTTTCTGGTACCAGGTAAGGTTGTAAGTAGATCTGGAATGGATGATCTTATTCAGAATGTACCTTCTGACCTTCCTTTTGTGTACCTCAAGCAGACTTCTTTCCTAAGACATGCATGTTTACTGTTTGTTTCCCCCGTGATGAATTTACAGCTGACTATTCATGATATATTGTTTAGCATATTGTATGAACCATTTTGTTATTTTAAAAGTCTGAGTTTGAGGTCTGAAAATTATCTAACTGAAATTATTATTTCCATTGCATTGTACTAAAATTGGTGATTTCATTAGCAGTGTAGATATTGGTGCAAGACAGGAGTCATAAAATGTCAAAGCTCAAAGTTTTCCTTGCAACAGGTTTCTCTGCAAGCTAGTTTGAGAGGGTTTGTGTCATGATTTTCCTTAAAAAAAACTTAGATAGCCACTGTAGCTATCTGTACACACATAGATGTGTATATCTGTGTTTTTCAATAAAATGCTATTAGTTTTTCACTGTTACAGAAGAATTTTTTTCCACTTAGAGTTTATTCAAGAACATATATGCCTACAATATGAAAAATGAAACGATAGGTTGTGAACCAAATTCTTTTTCATGTACAAGTCTTTTAACACATACAAGCAGAAAGAGGAAGGGAACAGAAAATGACAATAGGCTCCAGAACTACCTTTGCATTTTTTAATCTTACAACTGAAGAATGAATCAAAATATTAATTTGTATTGGACACTACATACATAATAGTTTGAAATAAACACAGTACAAAATCAGACAGTGTTGTTTACTATCTTGCTGAGACTTGGGTTCCCATTTTCTGTCTCTGTTTTTGAAGAGAAATTTGAATCGCTAATCTGTTTGGGAAAAAGACTGAATGTTTTTTAATTCATGCCGATTATTTAGCATTTTATTCCATGAAAAGTAGATAAGAGGATATGATGTTTAAAATAAACAGAAGGAAAGATTGACTCCTGGGCTACAGCACAGTTTTACAAATTTTTAAGTATGTGCCTCTTGCACCTTATTTTTTTTCACAGAACACCTTAATATACTTTAGCAATAATCAGCAATACTCTAGTACAGTCAGAACATTCTAGATTTTGCTTCTATGATGTTTGTTTCAACTTTTCTACCTCTCCTGTGTGCTGGTCTAATAGATACTTTAACCAGGTATAGATTTCTCTTTCAAAGTAGGGTAATGAAGACAAAAAAAGTCAATGATCCATACACATTGTAGCTTAGGCAATACATGTGTTATCACATATTACCATGTCCTGCTTGCAAGCTGTGACACAGAAGGATACCAGCAACTGCACATTTAAAAAAAAAAAAAGTCAGCTGCTTCTTGTCTGATACCCTCTACTGAATCCTTACAATCACATGGCTTCCTTCCATGCCAGCTCCTTTACAATGACTTTTCTGAGATTAATTTGCAAAGAAAAAGAAGAAAGTCAAGCAATGTAAGTTTAAAAATAGAATAAAGCCCGATATCTCAGCAAAGCCCTTTTTGCTTGGAAAACTCTGCAGTTTGGCTCATTTTGTGTTAAACCTCTTAAGGAGCAATCAGGCATTTGCACTAGTAGGTCCCACGGTTTTTTGTCTGGTTAGAAGAAATCACTGGTTACTCCTTAAAATATACAATTCACCTGTGGATAACTGAAGGGTTTTTTCATAGGGGGAATCTGAAATCAAGCTGGAGGCAGTAATGTCATCAGGCAATAGAGCTGGAGATAGAGAATGTATGTTTATTTTCTTCATAGGCATTTGGCAAAGTCACTTGTTTTCTCTTACAGTAATCAAACCTCCTCAGAAAGTTTATGAAAATTAATCATTATTTATACACAGGTGATATCTAATTTTTAACAAATAACCAGTGATTTCTTTGGTTGTTTGACAAAAAAAAAAATTAAAAACATGGCCCCTAACTTGAAAATTCACCGTGAAATGGCTGTAAATTGTAAAACAACAGAAATATAAATAAATATCTAAAAATATCTATAAAATAGCAATAAGATTTTTGTAGGCCAAGGCTTTAAGTCTGGCTTCTGAAACTTAGGGATTTGTCAATAATAATTTCTGAATTCTGTCATTATAATCATTAATATAAGAAACTGGACTGCAGGCATGGCTTGCAGTCTTCATTTGCACATAGATTCATGGTACGGTTTGCATAATTTGTGGGCTTAGCTAATGCAGTAATGCCAGAACTGTGTCTGACTCATAAAGGAGAAAGACACAGTATAGAGCTATTTATTGTGAGATAGCTTTGACAATGCAGTTTAAATTACAGACTTTAAAAAAAGTCTATAGATTTTCAGCGAATTTACAGGTAATTTTGGGGGTGTCTGTGATCCTGCAGATAAAAAATAAATTAACACAAAATTGCATTAAAAGCAGTGTTCTCAGTAACCACCATCAAGGGAAGGATTGGAAACTATGATAGCCCATTTTCTCATGGGCAATTTCTACCCCCTAACGAAACAAAAGCTGAAATCGTATCCTTTATTTTGTTGATATGAAGGGAAGGTAATCATCGTGGATCAGAATTGTACAGCTTTCGGAAAATAGGGATATAAGAGTCACTTCAGTGTCAGCTTCTTAAAAAAAAAAAAAAGTGATACTTAAACCAAAAATCCAATCCCAAATTTTATTTGGTCACATCAAAAGAATTAAGAACAGTCCAGCATTTCATTCATATAGAAACACCACAAAGTCTAAAATATGAACTTTTTTTAAAATTTAAAGCAACATGGCAGATAGATCCTTTCAAATCTAAATTAATACTTGCTTCTTTCTGACTATTCATTTTGTATTTTTAAGGGCCTGTGGATGTTAATATTCTTGCAAAGTGTAACCCCTGTTTATCAAATCCCTGTAAAAATGATGGAACCTGCAACAATGATCCAGTTGACTTCTATAGATGTACATGCCCATATGGTTTCAAGGTAGGTACTGAATGAGAAGGAAAAGCTCACTGAAATTTAAGCTTCTCCTTAACAACCTTTACATTTTCTTTGTCTCTCTTCCACTAGTGTCTATATTTTCTTCTTACATTACAATTGTTGTTCCTTGCATAGGGTCAAGACTGTGATATTCCCATTCATGCTTGCATTAGTAACCCCTGCCACCATGGTGGAACTTGTCATTTGAAAGAAGGAGAAAAAGATGGTTTCTGGTAGGTTTTTCAGTTGTTAAATGAGGATGGGAAACTACTGCATTTTATATGCTGAAATAATTTTGGTGTTAATCTTTGGGTTCTTTGTGTTTGATGGTAAATGCACCACAAAGGCACGTTTCAGAATATTTCACCATCCTTGGAAAGCTTCTAAAGCTTTTAATCTATTAAAAACAATAAAAAATGATTGTGATTAGTTGAGGCATATCAGGTCAAGACAACATAGTATTGACTCCATTATGTTAATTAATAGCTAGCTAGATCCCTGCTGAAAAATATCTCACAATTCATCTGTTGTTGTATGTATTACTTCAACAGACAGCATGTAAATGATAAAATGTAAATCCCAGTGAAACAGAAAATTAATGATTCATTTGAAACTCACTATGCCAGCAGATAAACATGCTGTGAGCATTTTTAATCTTGAGTTATTTAATCACACAGTACAATTACTCCAGATGTACTTCATGAATTATGAAATAAAGTTCTTTAGCATTCTTATGTGAAATTATTAGTCATTTAATAATCTACACCTCAAGCTAGTTAGAAATGACACTACAAAAAGATGCAATTCATTATCCTGCAATTTATTATGGCATTATTCTTATTTTTAATCCAAATTCTGCCCAAAGATTAAGCAGTTTTCTATTAAAAATAAGTGTATACATCTTAATATTATGCCTCAAGGATTTAAATTGACATAGTCATGCCTCAGAATGTTACCTTTTTCATTTATTTGTTTAAACGCTACATATTTCGAAAATCAAAGCAATCTCATAATGAAAGCTGCAAGAAATTATAGATAGTGCAAATTATAAGAAAATGTATGTGTAGTCATGTTTGAGTGACTTTTACATTCACTATCTATTTTGATGTACTTGTTTTGCATAAACAAGCTTAAAAGCAAAAAATAAATTACTGCTTCACAGAGTTTATACAGGCTTTGTTTTTTTGAATGCATGTATTGTGCATGGAACATTAAAGAGAGCTTTATATTGGTGCATTTAACTGAACAAAAGTGGAATACTACTATTACATACTAATCCCTGATTTGTCTTTTCCATGTGTTTAACTAAAAAACCAAAAGGATCACTTTCTATAAGAAATATAATCTTATAATGTAAAGGTAGCACACTTTTTAAAAGGAATGTTCCATGAATGTCCCTTATACTAAAGATTAAGGTACAACTTTAGAAACCTTTTTTCTGTAATTTAAAATATGAAAAATATTTTAGTAACATTTATTATGTGGGGTTTTTTTACATTATATAAATTGTATTCTGTTATGGAATAGTGATTATAAATTATTGTACCTATTAATTACAAAGCTCCTTGTCCAGACTCCCCAGCTAAAATATGCATGTGGTTATTCTGTTTTCTGTATTACAGGTGCACTTGTGCAGATGGATTTGAAGGTGAAAACTGTGAAGTAAATGTTGATGACTGTGAAGACAATGACTGTGAAAATAATTCTACTTGTGTGGATGGAATTAATAACTATACTTGCCTTTGTCCACCTGAATATACAGGTAGGAGTATAAGAGAAAGCACAGGCAATTCAAGAATTCCTAGCAGAACAGTAATATTTTCCACTTTGCAGGTGAATTATTAGTTACTCTACAGCTGACTTAAGGCCAATTTTCCCTCCATATTTTTCTCCTGTATGATTTGTAGTCAAAAGTAGACTTAATGCCCACTCATTAATTCCTTTGTTAGTTTTGAAATTAAGGCATTTTTATGTTTAAAATGTCATTCAAAATGTGCCCCTCCCTACTGTTTGCCTAGATACCCCAGTGAAGGACCTCTGTAGCTGTAGGAATCTGAAAAATATTCTGCTTTTATCATGTAAACCTCATTTTACTAACAAGGTAGAAAATGATTTGTCTGTGCCCGTGGGGAACAGTGTATTTGGCACCCCTGAATGCTTTCCTGCCCCCTGTTAGAAATATTAATACAGGGCGTGATGCTTCCTGCACGGAAAACAAAGACAAGTGTCTAATTATTTCTTTCTATCCGTCGGCAGCCAAGCCAAAGCATTTCCTTCTCTTTGAGACAGGATCTCTGGCTTGCTGTCATTGTCTCTGCAGCAATGGAGGATAGTTAGAAGAGCAGCGCAGAGGAAGTAGGATCTGTTGTTTGCATTGATCTGTTTTATAGTTTTTCTAACTAGACAAATCTATATTCTCTCAGCTAGCTGACCTCTAGGAGAACATACAGCTTAATTTCACAAAACCGTGTTTTGAAATGCATAAAAAAGAAATGTAAGGTCCACCATAACTTAGGGATTAACTCTACACAGTCATCCTATATTTTTACTTTCATCAATCAATCAAATTTGAGCTCTGGAAAACTGTGAGGAGGGGTGAACTCCTGAATTAATTTTATTTTTTGAAAACACAGCTCACTGTTTTCTCACCCAAAGTGTTTCTATTATTAGTTCTACAACCTATTGGATTGCTACAATGTTTTGGGGTATTCAAATTTAAAGTCAGTATTTAAATCTTGGGAATACACAGTGAGTAAATATGATAAAACACAAGTATAGGAAATACTACTTCATAATCTATTATACGTATTCATCTATAAATGTTTGGTAGAATTGACAATTCAGGCCTTGGAAAGAAATAACAGGTAACAGCATCAGTAAAGACAGACAAGTGTTTGCTATTCCTCCTACAACTAATATTTCAGGCATATGTGAGTTAAGCTTCAGCTCCCTTGGGATCATTTACTATCTCCTGTAAAAATGGGATCAGACATTCTTTTGTGTAGGCTGGAAGAATGCAAAGCAAAGTCACATTTTTTATGTTTGTATTGCAGTTGTACTTTTTTAGTCAAAATACAATAAAGTGTATTTCTAAATTTGTTTCATAACTGTGCATAATTCTATCGGAATAATACTATGAGTTTACATGGCAAGTGTTCTTGTTTGCTAACTGTACTTCTTTCAGAAAAAGAGATTTGCTTTTACAGGTACAATGCCTACTCATAATCACTACTGAAGTCAGTAGGAAACGTGAGTAGGTGAGAATGTTCTCACCAGCTCGAAAATAGATCAAAACAATCTACTTGTAATCATTATGTTTAGCCTTTCTGTTTGTTAAAAACTGTTGGGAATTTATACTATCTCACCAGATTTTTTTCAACACTTTACAAAAATAAAAAGACACATGTTTTTTTAAAAAATACATTACTAGAGGCTCAACTCATTTTATAGATAACTTGGACAAAAAATGTAGCAAAAGTTCAAGTTTTCCATTGTATAGAATACAGTACATAATTATACATATATTGTCTATCATACAAAGCATCTGAGAATAGGACACAATGTGTGAGATCCTAAGTGATTTTAGAGATTAGTTGTAAGGAGAAAATGTAAAGCACTGAGCTAGTAAAGGCGTCCTCACATCTATCATCGTTTATCTTGCGTAATAAATAACCTTCAATATATAGAATTAGACTGACAGTAGTCTGACCACATCAGGATCTAGAAAGGGTGTTGTTCAGAATAATAATAATAAGTAATCATAATAATAAAGTAATCATACAGTTGCCTCAGGTGTGTATGAGGTACCAAATTATTTCTAGAACTGTTTTTTTCTGGCTTATAGCCTGCGTTGAAAGATAAATAACAGAATCCCTGTCAAGTATGTATTGAGCGATTTTCATGAGGAACCTTGTAAACATTTGGATTTTGGTATCTGTTCTAACAGGTTAAAGTCAGATATGCATATTTCTAATGTGTTTTTTTTAATGAAAGGTATTTTTCCCTAAATGAATTCATGGACTAGCTGGGCAAAAGTAGGTTAACAATCAGGAAAACAGGTTACATATTCAGTCTATAAAAAGATTTTTAAATTCAAAAATACTTATCTCTAGTATAGAAAGCCCCTGAGCTGTAAGTTGCTGAAGACTGGCTCAGTATATATACCTTGAAAATACCACTGTGGGATTTTCTTGCTCTCTTTTAATTCTGTTGACAATACTTCGAATTGTCTGTGTTCAAGATGTCACAGCGTATATGTACTCAATATGGAAGTGCACCGGCCTAGAATATTTTTCTGGGTGAACGGTTATCTGCAAGTATGCGTTACATTTCAGCAGCACAGTATAAGGGAGAAGTCAGCTTAAACCTGCTGGTATGAAATGTGAATCATTGTTATATAAAGTTTTATTTTCACATGGAGGGCAGTGAATGTTGCAGTGTAAAACCTAGCAGTCTCTTTTTGATTTTTCTAGCAATCCCTTGAAAATCAACACCTCTTAACTATGCAATGTTGATTTTTAAAAAAGCAATTAAAAAAGCTTATGTTGTTGCTTGAGAATCAGGAGTCCATTTTTCTCCGCCTCAGTTAAGTTTTACAGCTACCACCACAGTTACAGGTAGAAAGACAAAGAGTGGTATTTGCACTATGCTATGAGCTTTCTCAAGATCACAGACTGTAACTGTGAAACAACAGTAAGCAAATGGAATCAACAGGCACTCTCATGTCTGATCAAACCTTGAGAAAAAAAAAAACAAAACAAAACATTTTTTTAAATTTTAAAAAACATTTAAAATACCTCACTATGTCCTGCACTCTTTAATCTCTCTATTCTCTTAACATTACCATCTCCTTTATTTTAATCTCAGTCTATTAACTTCAGGCCATTTTATGTGCATTCTATAGGTTACAAATGATCATTTCTCTTGCTCATTGTCATCAGTCATTAGATCACAGATCTAACTGATCCAGAAGTAAAATCTTTCTTATGCCACTGGCGGCATGTACTTCTTACCTTTCCATTTGTTTTGCTCTGCTTTAGGTGAGACTTTGAAGCTTGTTTCATTTTGCTATATCAACCTCTCTGCTGCTATAGTTGTGCATTAGCTTAATGTGCTATGCTGTTGTATTATAATGTAAAAAGTCTCTTGTCTCTTCTGTCTTTGTCACTGCAAGCTGCTAATCTGAATGAAGTGGAAAAAGGTCAGTTGTCTTTTAAGCCTATTTTCACTTACTTTGGTTTCTCACTTTCCTTTCCTTAAAGGTGCATGGATTTCAGTTCTTACCAATGATCAAATAAATTGTATATAGACATAATTTAGAAAGCTCACTGCAAATCCTCAAATTAGGCACTTGGCTCTTGCTGTGAATACGTGTCAAAAGAATGTTGTCGAAGATGCAGATTTCTGTGCAGGAGTAATTTAATACTACGTTCATTGTCTTTTTTCAGATATATTAAAAATTTGTGCAGCCACTGATAGGGCTAACAAAAATGTTTACATTGTGACCTTCTGAAATATTTATTTTCTCACCTTAAAGAAATCCCTTGGTTCCATTCTTATGTATTCTCTTTTATAGTGCTGTTTCACTTTAAGTGTTTTATTAGATTTTGGTACTAGAAAGTATGCTAGAATATAAAATGTCAATCTTCTTGCTCATCATTTCTGTGGCCTTTTTTTGCTGTAAATATCTAAAGTAATTGAAATTACCTTATTAACCTGAGGCTATGGTAGAAGAAAAGTAATCTGGAGAGATTTGTCCCGCTAACTTTTAATGTTTCTGATTTTTGATTTTTTTTTTTTTAAGTTTCTCCCTAGCACCTATTGCACTAACAGAAATCACACAGAATCACAGAATATCCGGAGTTGTAAGGGACCCACAAGGATCATTGAGTCCAGCTCTTAACCCTGCACGGGACCATCCCCAAGAGTGACACCATGGGCCTGAGAGTATCATCCAAACACTTCTTGAACTCTGTCAGGCTTGGGGCTGTGGTGCTTAGCACTTCCCCCGGGGAGCCTGTTCCAGTGCCCAACCACTCTCTTTTTCTAATGCAAAAACTTTTTCTTATATCCAACCTAAACCTCCCCTGACACAACTTCAGGCCATTCCCTCAGCCATCTTCTGTGCAGTTTCATCATTTAAGCAATCTGAGAGCTAACATAATCAATGAAAACATATTTATGAAGTTGAATATTTAGATTTGAAAGCAAATGAATCATTTTGTAGTGTATTTGCCATTAATTTAATTTTATAAGTATATTTTTCAGTCTAGAAAGCAATATAATACTTCATTAGTATTAAAAATATGTTCATTATCTATGAAATAACATGTTGAGCATGGCTGCAATTATACCGTCTATGTTGATTTCCGATGAATAGTTCTTACAACTTAACTCAGAGCCTAAATTTTCTCTGTAACTGATGCAGAGTACAAGACGTTTCCAGAAAGTGATTCCAACCACAAGCTTTCCATGCTTAAAGCTGCATTCCATTTAGATATATTGCCGTATTTGCATTTTATTATCTGGACAGCGATAGTAGCCTCCTGTTTTTCTTGTGTATTACACAAGTGTGAATTATATTAAAATTAATGATTATAGAAAGAACAAAATCCTCACAAACAAATTATCAAACACCCAGGGGATGTGAACTAAGTTCAGCTCCAAAATTAAGCAGATGTATATGTAATACATACTTGTATTAGCTTGCCAGCTGAACATGAAAGTCATTGATGGTCTATAAGGTGCTTGGAGGATCAGTCAGTTTTGTCATGCCAGACCTGTGATAGTAATAGGAAAATAAAGGATAATTTTAAGTAATTATCTCAGTTTAGGCAAGCCTTAGACACAGCCTTCTTACCACTGCAATAAAGGAGTTACATTACTACTTTTAGTTCACTTGATAATCAAATAAGTACCTTCCTAAAATTTAAGCATGCAAGTAATCAAAATCAAATCATGTCATGTCAAACTAGATAAAAAGTTTAATTATTTCATCAAATTAGGATCATAATCCTCATTCTTGTAAGAACTACACATTACAGCTTCATAGAATAAAGGAATACCTTTGCTATTCTTGCTTTTCATCACTTGTAAAATTCTACCTTAAAATACTTCAAATGACTATTCTATAGTAAAAGCTCAAGTTTTAAAGTAATTTTACTGCCTTTTCATAAAGGGGAAATATACATGATATCCTTGGCAAGCTGAGCTACCTGCTACTAGTCTGATCACTGCTCGTTCTAGTGTATGATCCGTCCTTGTTTACTTAATTGTCTTAAAGCTTACCTGCCTAAAGGTTGCTATTTCTTTATTGTCACCAGGCAGCATATGTAAAACAACTAGAAATGTTAAAGTAAATAAGCCCCATCTTACACTGAGATCCACAAGCATGGGGGATAGCTGTAAAGACTTACACAATGGTGAAAGATAGGAACAGTCAAGCAATTTGGCTCTAAAATTAAATTCAAAAAAAAATATTCAGTTTTATGGTTATAAATCACATCCTACTGAGACTGTAAACTTTTGTTAATTTTAGGAAACTTTGTCTCTCATATAGTAGATATCTTTATTTGTCTTTTCTGAATAATGAGCTCAAGACCTTAAATAATTTATGTTGTATAGTGTACATCAAACTCAAGACTTCATAAAATTGCAGAAATTTTCTGTATATAGTTTGTTAAATGACACTGACATTTCCCAACCATTTCTGTGCTCTATTGGCTATTTGAGTCAGAAGTAATTAGACAGAGACAGTAATACCTAATTGATAAAACATAAACATTACAGAAGCTGACTCACAGTATATCCCAACCAAACTCAGAAGCTGGAATGGATGTAGAAGTACACATATAAAATCCTTCTATTCTGGCAATTACACCAGATATTTGTGAAAGATATTTGTTATTTTGACTTTGGAACAGTGAATAAGTCTTCTAGCCAAAACCTGATTTTTGATAATTAAGTCTGACTGTTGTTGCTTTTGCATTCTGTCTCTAGTTTTTGTTCTAATACCATATTCACCTTTGCTAATGATTTAAGGGTCATTTTAAACCTATTTCTTCATAAGCTTACCTCTAAGTAGCAATGTGCAATTATATTCAGAAGCCCATGTCCATTTTTGTTAGAGCTCTCCTCTTCATTCAGAAATGTAAGTCCTTTTTCACCTCATTACTCATTATGTATCCTGTTACTCATTATTTGTTGTACTACATGTCTATATATTGAAAAATGCGAAGTTAAGGGTCTGTTCAGCCTTAAAAAAGGCTTGGGGAGACCCTGTCACCCTGTTCCAGTATTTAAAAGGGTAGCAACAAGGAAGATGGAGACTCCCTTTTTTACAAGGAGTCATGTGGAAAAGGGGGGTGGTAATGGGTACAAGTTACTCTTGGGGAGATTCCAGTTAGATACAAGAGGGAAATTCTTCACAGTGAGAACACAGCGATTGGAATAATCTCCTCAGGGAAGTAGTGGATTCTCCAGCATCAGACACTTTAAGATTCAGCTGGACAGGGTGCTGGACCGTCTTGTCTGGACTGTGCTTTTGCCAAGAGATGATCCTTGAAGTCCCTTTCAACCTAGTATTCTATGATTAAGGGGGTTTTTTCTGATTTATAATCTTGTAAAGTCATGAGTGAATTAATACATACAGAGGAAACACAAATTGACTAGAAAGCAATCTAGCAAACTTAGCTCTTTGGTTAGCTAATCAAGGACTCCATCCAATTCATCATCAGTATTTAATAGTGTCATCTGGCTGTAAGTCTGCATCATACTCCATATCTAGCTGCAAAATCTCAGTAAATATTTGTCTTGAGTTTGGAGGGTTGTGTTCATTTGGACTGTGTCAACCACACAGACTTCCACTGGTTTCAATGCTACTTCATACCAGACTCCAGACTCCCTAGATTAATTAAGCAAGATGTCTTATGAAAAGAGTTATTCCTGCTTCTAATTAAGCTTTGGAAGCTTTTCACAGGATTTTTGACACATTATCCACTGTTTATTTTTAAACAAACTAGTCTGTTGCTAATTTTCCTACATACAGAAATGTTCCCATCTTTCAAAAACTTAATTACTTAGCCAAGCTCTTACAGAAGCCTCAGTTACAATACTATTAGATGAATAAAAGAATGTCCTCACACATTGGTGTCAAGATTCCTTGAATTGAGACATTTGTTTCACAATCTTTTTTGATTATTTTGAAGTATGTTCTTTAAACATTGTATTATGTATTATATTTCCTTCCAATAAAGTCAAGGGGCCTAACTTAGTAAATCTGATATTTCCTTTAGTGAGTGTTTCACTTTCATCACTATTCTTTCATTTCAACAAAATTAATTTCTCCCTTTCACCTTGTCTCAGTTAAATTCCGAATAACACATCATTTTTTGAGTACGCTGAAGGAGATGTTTCTTTACCAGGAAACTATGTTCTTCAGTGGTTCAGATTCCATGTCACATATTTTATTTACCTTTTTTGTTAACTTTTTCAGAAACAGTTTAATTTTGGTCATGGGAATGCTCCATTCAAAATACAGATCTATTATCAGTTTTTAATATTACCAGTTATTAATATTATCTATTAGCAGTACAAGACCTTACACTCCTGTTATTTTGGTTTGTTCTTCTGGTGTTTATATCTTCATTCAGAAATGGTGTATCTGGTGTACATGTTTGGATTCTATCCTTAATTTTTTGTGGGTTTTTTTTTGATTGATTCTGTGTACAAGTCTACCATGAATGCTACTCTTTTTTTATAATTAAAGTTTGTACTTTAAATAAAGCTAACTTTTATGTTCATAGGGGTTTTTACATTATTCTTTTGCTACATGGCCATGATGCTTACCATGCTCTTTCCTTGGTTCCTATTTCCTGTTTCCTAACAGACTGTTTAACTGAAATTCCAATGATATGATTCTGACTTATTTCACAGTGCATGCAATTTGCAAATGCAAGGGGAAAGTTTCATTCTTTTTATGCTGTCACGGCACAAAAAGTCCTGCTTTTGTGTGCTTTTCTACAGAGTGCTCAGTTCAAAGTCTATCAGTAATGCCCAAAACACCTGGTGATGTTTGCAAACTGTTTGGCTGCAGTATGCCTGGAAGTGTAACATTGATCTTAGGATTTGAAGTGGACATTTTTCAAAACTGTAAACCTGTTTAAAACTTAAATTTCCAATCCTTATATAGGACTCACAGCTCCGAGTGGGAAATTAAGACTTTGCAAGTGCCCCTGGGCACTCCACATGAGATCACTCAGCTTTCAGTGTAGTTATGAGGATATTAGGGCCATCAACCTATGAATATTAAAATGGAAGGTACTCTAATTAAGAAATCCTGTATTTTGTAAGTACCTGGGGGAGAATTTACAAAAATAGAGAGGCTTAGACACTACCCAATAAAGCTGTTTGCCATGTAAGAAATATCAGAAATCTGTACAATGATAATCTAACTCATGGCCCAATTAGTATCCTCCAGCAAAATCAGTTCAATAAAGTTGACAGCAGTGGTGAGAATGCTTGCTCCTATTATGCTAGTCCTAAATATTCTTTTTCTAGGTACTTTGGGGTTTTTTTCACTGAACTTTAACTGTGAATGTATAAGAGACAGCAAGCCTCCAGCCCTTGGAAGACAGACTCATTGTGTCACTTTCAGATATTCTCTGATATTCTGTTAGAATAATTAATCTTGGGAATGTTTAGAGGTGGGTGTTTTTGTCCAAGTCTTGTAAGTACTGTACAGCCATGTTTTTATTATTTGTAATTGGGGTGTCATATATTTTTCAGTTCTGTATGTAATTTAATATAGAGTATATGCCATAATAAGATATTTGTGTAGGTGCATATAAATATGCATATATAAACACATACATGTAGGCACATATGTACATTTCTAAACCGTAGGAATGTGCACAAAACAGGTTAAAAGAACAGTAATTTTTGGTTATTCTACTCCCACGATCCCTAAAATCTGAATTCTCTGTTCCCATGTTTATATCTCACTCATAAGCACTGCTGACCTTTAAACAGATTTTAGCTATTACACGATCTGCAAATTGAATAAATGCTAGGTGAAGAATTACTACCTCTTATGTATGTATTTGTTTGAACAAAACCCTTTGAAAAGAGAAAGGGATCCGGGTTTTGTTTGAAATATCATGGGATGCAAAGAATCCCTGGTATTTCAGGATTATTTGTGCACTGACCTAGTCATAACAGTTGCACATTTCCAGACTAATAATTCTATTGAGAGCCTGAAGAGGCTTTGAGGATAGAATTGTAATCCTTTGTATTAGTCATTCTCATGTCCTGTGTTTGATCTGTATTCAGTTTCCTACATGTATTGACTAAGTCACATTGTTACTGACAGTTTTCCTGAGGCTGTTAAGTGGGCTGTACTTGAAGGCCATTTTCTTGTGTTAACTCAAATCTTTATTTGGTTTGTAGGGAAAATGCACTACTTCCATGTTAGGAATGTGCTATTAATTTATTTTATTGTACTTTTAAATCTTTGTGTAGAACCAGTCTGGATCTTTTTGATGGCTGCAAAGTACTTGTCTAGCTGCTTTTTGGCTTGCCTTCTCATTTTTGGAGATGTAGAGGTCCCACGCCTTATCACATTTAGCATACATGTTTCAAATGTGTTTTTTTCCAGCATAACTATCTTTGCTCCTGGTTCAGTTTTGACTTTTTCTCTATCCTTGCTTTAATATAGACAGTTCCTCAACTCTTTTTAAGTTTCCATTTATTTGTCCAGCAAGCCACTGCTGCTCAGCTAAGTAAAACTGAGGGATACCAAATATTGTGCCTCTTTGAAGGAAAGTTCAGTTTGACCAGTGAGAGTATCTGCTCATCTACTGCTTTCTTCTGCTCTTTTCTTTCTCATTATGATGTACAGTTCTCTTTGCTAGCTAGCTCATGTCTTGTTAGTGGACAAATGGACGAGAGACAACCCTACTTCTTCCATAGTTTTAGAGTCTGGTGAACTTGTCAGTCCCTGAATTCAGCAGGCACAGTGTTTATACCTGTTTATTATGCATATATTCTTCATATGGATGCTGAAAAAAGTATATCTATCTTACAAACCAGTGATAAACTTTTCGAGTGCACTATCCATGCTATCATTTGATTAGTTAGTCAGGAAACAAGACATTGTCAACCTGTTTACAAACCTATAAGTGTTTCCTTGTCATAAAGTAGCAAATAAAATAATTTTTAAACGTATTAAAATATTTTATAGATTATACAGCCCATGTTGAAAATTAGAGCCATTGCTTCTGTCAGCAGGAAAAGGTAGACATTTGACATAGATATTTTTTTCTTTTCTTTTCACAGAACAGATTATAGATAATTATGGTACATTAACAAATACAAAAAATGGAGAGTCATATTTAACGAAAAGTAGAAAACAAGTTTTCATTTTGGGATAATTGGAATTGTATTGACATGCAGTGATATTAACAGGTTTTTTTCAGGTAATAGATTACTTATAGTGATAGTGCAAATCTGGGTATTTCTGTGTGTAATGTGCTTAAAAATAAGTAAGAGAAAAGCATATTGATGTTTTTTTTGTTCTAGCAGGAAGACTTGCAATCACTACTGTTTTACTATACAGCAGAGCTAGATAAATATTGTAAATAAAAAAATTTTTTTTGAAAAAATTATCATTTGTATTTATGGATAGATGATTGATATTGAAATTGATACTTTTTATAAATGAGTTATCAGATATATTATTATTGTTACTATATCTGTGTTACTATTTATTTATCAGTATTTGTTAAAAAGGTATTTATTACTATATCAAGAAGCATGCATATTTCACTGTTTGCAAAAGAAGTTGTAGCCGTTTCTTTTAAAATAGAAACTGCTATTTTCAGGTCACTGTGATGTTTTCACTGAACTGACAACATACATTGTATTTCAGGTGAACTGTGTGAGGAGAAACTAGATTTCTGTGCTCAAAACCTGAATCCTTGCCAGCATGATTCAAAGTGTATCTTGACACCCAAAGGATACAAGTAAGTCTGAAATATTTTTAGAGTCTAACTGAATCGAAATTCATATTTTTCTATCCTGCTTAGCTTCCTTTCCTTGTGTTTTAGTGGAAGCAAGTTCTGCTCCCAAAGTACTAATTTTGGTTATTATTAAGCATTATGGCAGAACAGGCCATTATTTTCATATAGAACTACATTGTTATCTTAAGTATGTTTTACTGAATTTCACTGATCCTTTCCGGTTCTAATTCCAAACAGATTTTAAATAGGATAGTCTATATGATGGTCCTTTTAGGAGCTTGGGCAGCAGGAAAATAATTGCATTTAATTGAAGTGGAATAATTATACTGCTTTTAGAGAAGTAATTGTGAAAGAGATTATTAGGAAGGCACACTGGAAGATATAAACTAAAGAAGTCCATTCCCAGGAAAACTAATCTTGAATTACACCATATCCTTATCAGAAATTAATTAGTATGCACAAGTTAAAGTTGTTGTAATAGGCTTTAGGTTAAAAAACATAGGAAACCTACAGTTTTCAATTGTTCTCACAAGTACCTCTTTTATGCACAGCATGCTTTTGTGCTAAAATCAGATTATTATCGTTCCTACTACTTACAAAATTCTATTTTATTTAAAATATGCAAAAAATATAAAATGTATTAAGTATTCAATTGAACATGAAATTAAGTTGATGGTTTTCAGCTGGAAAATAGAAAACTTGTTGGATTTCTATATGATTATTTTCTTCACATCACTTCCATAAACCTAGTTAAGCATCTAATACTTTACTCCTAGTTCATTAATCTTTCCTTTTCCTGTCTGAGATTTTACATCAGAAAATAGTACATGCAGTAAACTTCAAGAATGTATCTCAGTCAGCTTTTTAATCGCATGCTTTATATTCTTTTTTCACTTTTCTTATTCATTTATGTTTTTTAATAAAAATGAGACATATTTTTTTTAAGTACTAAATTTAAAGTTACACAACTGTTTAAAATTACTCTTGCAAGTTTTAGATACTCACAGAAATAACACCAAGGAGGGAATCACAAGATCTAATGAAATCAATTAAAAACATCCTAATTAAAAAAAAAAAAAGATTTTGTATGCATAGATTTGTAATATTTTCCATTACTTTTTCACAGAGTTGTGGGCATTCACTCAGTCTAGTATATGTGAATTCCCTGAAGAAATGCCACTAGCATTAGCAATGACAGTTGCACATTGGAAAAAAAAAACCAAACCAACAAACAAAAAACATTACATACGGTCTTGAGGATATGCTGTTTCTAGTTCAGTGGGGGTTCAGGAAGGGAAGATGATGCGTTTTGAGACTTCTGTTAGTTCACTAACCAGGAAGCTATTTGTAGTATGGAACTTCAAGGGAAAGAAAATTATGCATAACCTCCAAACAGTATAAATGGACCATTGGTCCATAATTGACATTTATATAATTGACAAAGAAAATAACCATCAGTACAATGCAAGCCCTGGATGATTTGTCTCTGTTTCACCGACTGAACATATTTATTATGTTTAGTGTTTTCTGCATTGTTCGTAAATACTGTCAAAATTATTCATGAGGGCTCTCTGGATTTAAACCACAATTCTTCAATATAATGGCAGGTCTGTAAATGTGTTTAACCAGCAAACTTCTATTCATTACACATGTAGATTTCCCGTATACTAATGGGATTAAGCTACATAGTCTTTACACACAAAGTCACAGTAATGCCTTTTTTTTCCTTGAGCTTTAAAAAATTCAGTAGTTCCTTATCTTTGTCATAAGCATAGTGTATCATTAAAAGGCACTGTGCTATCCAATTTGATTTCCTGTTTTACAGATGTGATTGCACACCAGGATATGTAGGAGAGCATTGTGATATTGACTTTGATGACTGCCAGGACAACAAATGTAAAAATGGAGCTCAGTGTACTGATGCAGTTAATGGATATACATGTATTTGTCCAGAAGGATACAGGTGAGAAGGATCTGAAGACAGTAGAAACATGTATGTCTTCTGTCAAATTTGGGTTTTTTTCTTGGAAATACTGATTTTTTTTTTCTGTTTTCATTTAGTGGCTTGTTTTGTGAGTTTTCACCACCAATGGTTCTACCTCGCACCAGCCCTTGTGATAATTATGAGTGTCAAAATGGAGCCCAGTGTATCATAAAAGAAAGTGAACCAATCTGTCAGTGTTTATCAGGCTACCAGGGTGAGAAATGTGAAAAATTGATTAGTATAAACTTCATCAACAAAGAATCCTATCTGCAAATCCCTTCAGCTAAGATACGCCCCCAAACCAATATTACGCTACAGGTAAGTTTGCTTGTGTTGTAGATTCTCTTTTCTGGAAAAGAGAGTAAATGACTCTTCATGAGGTGGAAAACTACCCAAAGTTGTCAATGGCTCGCTTACAAAGCTTTTCACAGTTTGAGCTAAAAATTTACAAAAGTCAAGGCAATAACTTTATATTCCAAGTGAAGTAGATGGGCTTTTGGATAGGAAGAGAAAGAATTTTGTCAAGTTGTCCTTCAAGAGAGAATTTTTTAATGAAGTAATAGACTATGGCAGTAAATTCAGAGATTCTCTTAATGCTGCATTTCGATTTAATATTTATTTTTTAGTTCTTTCTAAGAGTTTCTTTCTTTTAACTAGATTGCCACGGATGAAGACAGTGGGATCCTGCTCTACAAAGGCGATAAAGATCATATAGCAGTAGAGCTGTACCGGGGTAGAGTGAGGGTCAGTTATGACACAGGATCATATCCAGCCTCTGCTATTTACAGGTGAACCTGGATGAAAGAAATTTCTAACTGAAACAAAAGCTGTATTAATTCCTTATGTCAAAGTCACATTTTTTAATAGATGTTTAAAAGAAACGTATGCAAATGAATGTATTGTTAGACGCTCAAAACCTCTTGCCAAAAGAGGTGAATTGGCTTGGCAAAATAACTCTAGTGCAGATACATCAGGAAGATAATATATTAGTTGGTGCATTAAAACTGAGAAGAGTTAGCTTCCAGCAGAATATTTATACATTTGTGTCAAGCTCACATGTAGAAGTGGAATTTTTTCCATGTGTAACTGACAAATGATTTCCTAGTGTACCAGGTAAAATGAAGAACTCTACTGCATAAGCAGAAATTAAATGGAGGCTTCTCTTCTGTGTAAGGCAGTCCTATCATGTGGGACTTTTCCCCAGCAAGTGAAAACTGAAAATTTGATTCTGAAAAAAGGCAGTACCCTTGAAAAAGAAATGGGTTTTGCTTCCAAAGTCATTAAGAAACAGAATCCACAGCTGCTTCTGGAGCATGATTTTTCAGGGTCAATTTTTAAGTCAATTTCTCTGGCTCTCTGAAAAATTACCACCTGAATTTATGGGGAGGTATTATATAACTTCACAAGAATTTGCAGACAGACATTGCAAGAGAGAGCAAAGAGACAACAGCCATCACTTCTTGGCATTGACTGCCCTCTTGTTGCTAAAAATACCTTCAGAAGTAAAAGGGAAATGTTAAATCAGTTTTCCATAGACCTTATTTTTGCTGCATTTACACCTTTAGGGTTATAAAATCATATCTAGTGTATAATTACTTTCTAGTATTTGTAACAGCTGACACTGTTCTGCATTCTATTACAGATATTTCAATGAAAATAAATGATTTTTAGAAATGATTGCACTCATATGGCAATATAAAATCAAAAACTCAAGTTTATATAGCAGGGAAACAACCCTAAACTTTGTTAGGCAATAACACTAAGGGAACTGTGTTTTTAGTAGATTACTAAAAACATTCCTCAGAAAAAAAATCATGCCCATAAAATACAACATGAAGTTGTTTAGAAAAAACATAACCTTCTCCAATAAGCATCTTAAGGTTGCTTTTATTTTTTGATGTGATATTTATTTCATAAGGTCTCCGTACAATTCCATGAAATGGTTTAACATGTGGAAGTAGTATATGTATATTAATTGTATAAATTTTCGTATATTAAAATTGTGTTTGACTTTACAAGAGATTGAAGTACCAAACACAAATTTAAAATTGCATCAAACATTCACTTTTTCAAATGATTACAATTCAAAATAATATTATTTTTCTTTTCTGTCTGGGATAGGGCTAAAGAAGAAATTTTGATTTTTTTTTTTCAGGGTTTTAATTATTTTTGTTGATTTTTTTTTGATAGGTACATCTGTCTGAGAATAAGAAGCAATAGGAATCAGGGTCGTATGTAGTTTCAAGTTATTTTGGCTCTCATTTGTTTAATCTATTGAGAATACTTTTTCCCATTCAGAACATATACTACCTTCTCATAAATGTAATGCTTTCTCTGGCATTGCTGGAATATAATAAATACTGGTAATTCACACTTGTCCATTTTAGTTTTCCAGAGAAAGATTGGGAAACATTACTCACACAGGTAAATTAAACACCAGAAACATGGGGATTGATAACAAAGTAACAAATTAACAAGCAGTCTCAATTAGGTTATTGTTACAAAACAATTAGAAGCATCTCCCCTACACAGTGAGGTGTTACAGTGTGACACAGTTGTTTAGTGAAGCAGATACACACTGGAAGTATTATTATTATTATTATTAACCTCCATTTTGTTTTGAATAAGTGTGATGGTGAACTTCTGAGATACTTGAAAACTTTCATGTAATGGTCCAACTGTAATGAAGCCTTGTGCCCTTAAGTGAAGTCTGAGGGGTTACCTTATATCTCTTTACAACTATCTGAAAGGAGGTTATAGCCAGGTGTGGATCAGTCTCTTCTCCCAAGTAACAAGCAATAGGACAAGAGAGAACAGCCTCATATTGCACCAGGAGAGCTTTAGATTGGATATTGGGAAAAATTTCTTCACAGAAAGGGTTGTCAAGCATTAGAACAGGCTGTCCAGAGAAGTGGTGGAGTCACCATTCCTGGAGGTATTTAAAGTGTAGTTGTGGTGTTTAGTGACATGATTTGGTGGTGGACTTGGCAGTGCTGGCTTAATGGTTGAACTTCATGGTTTTAGAGGTCTTTTCCAACCTAAACAATTCTATATTTTCATGACTCTATGTTGGAAGCCATATATACCTTTCCACATTTGTATATATGTTTGTGCATCTAGTGATCCTTGTACAAATTACATATTATTTCATTTCTATTTCAGGTTCTAGAAAGGCGTAGCATAGGGTCTTTTACACATTGTACTCTAATCCCTTTATCATTTCCAGTTCTTACCGTTCTACCTTCCTAGAATCTTTATGATATTTCCTACCCTTTTTAAGGTCTTTACCTTCTTTTCATCCATTCATTGCATATTGTCTTTCTGTACCTTTGTTACCTGTTAAAGCTGTCTCCTGGCATGTTTCCAGTCTTTCCTTCAGTCCCTCCTTTTGGTTTCTTTCCACTCTACTCTCCCTTTATTTTTTTCTAAGTCAACTAGATCTGCTCACAGACATAATCTACATTAACCTATTCATTTGTTTTCCATCTTCTCTATCTTGTCTTTCTCAGCCTTCTCCTTGACTCAATCTTCAATACTGTTTTCCTCACAATCCACTGCTATCCATTACTGATGCTTGCATTATTCAAACTATTTCTTGTGCAGTCCTACCCCTTTCTCTTCCTTCTCTGTTGGCCTAGTTTTTGCTGCTTCTGAATGAAAACCACACAGTTTCATTCTCTGTCAGTATAACCTTGAAGTAGCTAAGGCAACTCCTGCCCTGTGGGTGGGTTGGCAGGCTCATATCCAGCAAGTACTACTGCAGTCCAGAAGTACAGCTGAAGAGAAGGTGCTAATCATCTGTGTGCTGAAATACAGCCAGCATGGACCAAAAATTTCGGGATCTAGCCCAGTAGTTTGTGCAGAAGTACATTTTCAGGATCTTAACACCTTGCCTCAGTGCATTTTGAGAAAGATGACAAATGGATAGACATGGTGGCAGCCGACTGCCAAAAGTCATGACCTGCAAGGCAGGGGTAATAGAACCATAAGAGGTAGGAGTATGTTCCCGTTACTTTAGGAAACTATTGGGTATGTTTAGAGGACTAAACATAAGTTTCCTGCACCATTCAGTATGGAAAATTTTAGAAGAAACAGTTGAAAAGTTTACCAAAATTATAAATAACTAAAATAATATTGTGAAGTAGTGTCATAGGTTAACCCTGGTAGGCAAGTAAGTGCCACACAGCCACTCACTCACCTCCCCTTCCACCACCCCCACTTGGACAGGGGAAGAGAAAAGAAAGAGTAAAAGTCAGAAAAATCATAGGTTTAGATAAAATACTTAGTATTATGAAGAATATTAACTTCCCAGACAGATCCAGTACAAATGGATGATGAATTATAAAAGCAAGTAAGTTAATATATTATGTTTTATCAGTGAGATATGGGGATGACAAAAGAATATTTTAACTAATAATGTTTAGGAACAATGATGGTTAAGAACAGTTTGGTAACAGGATAGATAATTTGCAAAGATGGAAAGTTGGTTACACTGAGAAGGACTGAAAGGAAATTAAAAAACTGAGATTTTTATCAAGAAATTTAGCGATTTCATTAAGAAAGTGAAGATTCATGTATAGTACAGGGAAAAGAATAAGGCAGGTTGTACTCCACTGAACAATGATGACGTGCCTGAAACAGAGGAAAAAAAAAAAAAAAAAAAAAAAAAACCAAAACCAGAAAAAGCCCAGCCAATAGAGAGATTCAAATAGAAGTTTTATAATATAAATGGCAGACAAGAAATGGTGTGTTTAAAAGGAGTCAAATGAAAGCTGTAAAGCCTACAGAGGTGCTTCCAGTAACAACAAAGCAAAGTTACAAAGAGATGATTTAATCACAATAAATATGAAGAATTAACAATAGCATCAGTCTAGCTGTGTAAAGTGAATGAGAACTGCTTTACCAGTGGACCTGACCGCAGAAAGAGCCATCATCCCTAAAGCGGTCATAGTCAATCTGAGAAACAAAATGAGATGATGGCCCTGCCAAGACCAATAAAGAATATTAGTTCATTGGAGATGATTTTTTTTTTTAAATGTTGATCCACTTGTGTTTTGTTCTGTCTGGACATCATTTTTAAATGTTAAATGTTTTTTACACAAGAGAAAAAGCCCTTTTCATTCTGTAAACTAGTTTTCATCATATGTTTATTGGAAATATGGAAATATGGAAATATTTCTTCCCAAATCATTATTCTTCTACAGAGTACCAGAAGCCTTAAATCAGTTTTTCTTACAGCTTTTCATTAGGATCTATGCATTCAGCTCTCATTTCTCCAACGGAAAATGGGCTAGAAGTAGTGTAAGTGCATTGGCAGGAAATATTGCACAGATATGCCTTGTGTTTATTTCCCCTTTAATTTAAACCACCCTTCCCTAGAAGGGCTCCACTCTCTGCAGTAAATTTTTACCAGTAAAACAGTTTAAACCAGAAGCTTTTAATAATTGCTCTTATCAGAGACACATTCCCTTTACACATTATGTTTTATACATCCCTGGAATGACCTCTTGCTATAAAAATGCATTTTCTGTGTTGCTCTCATTCTTTAAAATACTATTGTGTGAAAGGTTGATAAACTGTAGAATAACAAGTTTCCTTGAAACAAGAACATTATATTAGGGTTTCTTGCTTCCTGAAATCAAAAAGTCGTATGCACTTTGATTTCTTAGCACATTTTTTCCTGGATCCATTGAAATGTGTTAAATAATTTAATCATGGCATCTTTATTATTGCTTTAGCACAGCAAACAAACCTCTTAATACCTTGTGCAAACCTGGGTCTTTAGGAATGATGAACCCTGACCTTTTCCTTTCCCCCCACAGAAACTGGCAGTCCCCCTCCTGCCAACTCCCATAAAGTGTTTATTGTGCCAGTGTCTGCTCTGTCGTATGTTTGCACTTTCACACAGAGCTGAGTTTATGTAAAGCATGCATGCTACCATGCAGACCTTTCATCCATATTGAGCAGAGGCTGTTCACATAGAGTAGGTAATAAATGACTACTAAGAAGCTATTTAATGTGTCACATCTGTAAGCAACCACGTGTGCTTCTGATCTGTTCCAGGACAAAAGCAGTTAAGTTAATTAAAACATCACTAAGGACGTTTTAAGGTAATTTGCTTGATTTTTGCCTGGAGGTTTAGGAAGCTAATCCCTTTCAGCTATACTGCTTTCTCAATAAGAAGAGCGAACTGACTGTGTGAGTGTTCAGTCCATCTCAGGCTATCATACAATTGGTTCCTTTGAATAACTTTTTTCAGAGGCTTAAGCTCACTCATTTGATGGTGGCCTGAAACAAATAAAGTCTCTCATGGGAATGGTTGTAATGTCTGGTCTCTGGACTACAGCTCATTGTCATACCTTCCATGCAGCCATATATTCAGCTCTCATTTCTCCAGTGTAAAATGGGCATACAATTTATGCAAATACAATGATATATTCAGTCCTAGAACTGAGTGATGATATTCTTCCTTCTCTGATGCACTCAAACCGTGTTAAAGCACAGAGTAGTTACCCTGCACTTAAGCACTTCCTGTGTAGATATTGCAGCTGATAAGCATAGGCAGCCATTTCTTGCACCTAATAATATGAATAGGCTTGCTCTTATACAGCATAAGCACCATGCTTGAAACAAACATTCTCTGCTTGACACCCTTCAGGTATTCTCCTACTAGTGAGTTCATAGCTTGTTAGGAAGCAGAAGGAAATGGTATATGTAGACAAGAAAAAAAAATAACAAAATATTTATATTCACTGTACTAGCCAGATGCTAAACACACAGAAATAACTGTGCCCAATAAAGATAAGAAATTAATTTACAGGTAGTGTCAGTGGAGCTATCTGGACCAATGACATAATTTTGTTGGGCAGGATTAAGGTTAGATGCAGTTCTGTATTTCATGAAATAGTAGATTTATGTATCATCGGAGTCAACTCAGGCCTTCGTACTTACAAAATGTGTAACCCATACTCTGCAATATTTAGGATACACAGAGGCACACATACAAATACGATCTTGGAGTAAAATTAGGATCATATGTCATCTAGTTCTACCTTCTTTGCCGTGGACAGGGACAACTTCCACTAGATTAGGTTGCACAAAGCCCCATCCAACTTGATCTTGAACATTTCCAATAACAAGTCCACAAATTCTCTGGCAACCTGTCCCAGTGTTTCATATTAACCCACCCTCATATTATTTTTTTTTCTTTATGTCACTTCTTTTACTTTATAAATTCTATCTGATCTAAATCTACCCTCTCTCAGAGTTACCCCTGGTCCTGTTACTACAGGCCTTGGTAAAAGGTCTCTCTCCATCTTTCCTATAAGCCCCCTTTGAGTATTGAAAAGCTGCTGTAAGGTTTACCCAGAGCCTTCTCATCTCCAGGTTGAATGACCCCAATTGTCTCAGCTAACTTCATAGAAAAGGTGTTCCAGCCCTGTGATCACTGTTGCAGAGGAAGGGGTGTTGTATTAGCTTTTAGGCATATGTGCATGTCTTTGCTTAAAACCTAGCTTTCAGGAGACTGCACTTCTGGAGAAGTTCTGTTCTGAAACTCTATTAACTCTTACAAGGAAAGAAGGTAAAAAACTGTTCTAACCAGACCATAAACTGTTTAATATTCATGTTTATTTTGCAGTGTGGAAACAATTAATGATGGCAATTTCCACATTGTGGAGCTGCTAGCTATGGATCAGATTCTGTCTTTATCTGTTGATGGAGGAAGCCCCAAGATAATTACCAATTTGTCCAAGCAATCCACTCTGAATTTTGATTCTCCGCTGTATGTAGGAGGTAAGAGGATCTTACTGCTTCTTACGAGAAGTATCATAGCTAATTTACTCTGGTAACACGCTTTAATAAACACATGGTAAGAGACTCATTTATTGGGATAACACCTTAAGATGAAACACAAGCAGTTAATCTCAATAGTTTCAATTTTAACAAATAGTATGCCCTCAAACTGAACCTGTTGCTTTCTTATAATTGCGTTTATTTTTTACCACTGCAAAATTATGTAATTTTCTACTGTTACTTAGCATTTTATTATACTGAAGAAGAGTGCTTAGCATTGTTTAGCTACATGAAGATTTATTAATGCCTATTCAGAAAGTATAGAATGGTAACATTCTGTTTTGCTCATGTTTTACATTGACATTTTACTATTTCACTGTACAGGTATCTGCAGGAAATGATAGCAATGAAAGCAATGAAATATAATTTATGTCTAGAGATCTTACTGCTTAGGGTTGATAGGAGTTAGGACACTAGGTAAGAAGGGAACCAACTGGACAGCTGCCTCACAGTATGTGGCAGGGCTTGTTTTTATTTGTTTATTTTGAGAAGAAAGAGTGGTTTGTTTAAGTAAAACTGGTAGAGCTAAAATATTTGAAAATTTTTTGATCATTTGGTGGAATATACTCTGTATAACTATGGATTCAAGCACACTGTTTTAACCAGCAGTTCCTGTTGGAATCCTGATGGGCCTCTGTAATCTAAGTAAAAGTCAGAAAATTCAGCCACCACTTTATGCCTCCTTACTCACCTTGGTAGCAAGTCTAAGTTCTTAGTGATCAGAGATTCAGCACGGTTTTTAAATACTGCTTATCTTCTACCAATTTTCAGGTTCTGCTTTAACCTTATGGTCTTACAGGAGGCATGTAAGGAATCTCCTTCTGATCTGTTCTTTCTGTAAAAAGAACACCTACTTTCTTTTTCATTTTGTCTAATTCTTAAGAACTTTTTTTTTGTCTGAGAATAACATTTTAGACTTAAGCATCTTGCCTCCTTGCGAAAAATTATGCTACCAGTAATACATTTGTGAGATGACTACTTTCTCTAGAAAAAGTGCTAGTTATCCTCTTTCTAAATACACAGAAAAGCTCAGGGTACTTGCTCAGATTTCTCTCTAATGGAAAATAAAACCAGCTGCTTTTGATCCTAATCAAGAATTGACTATTTCTCCTATAAAACTGGTATAACAAGTGCCTTAGTTACAAGTGATGAGAAGTAACATGACTTATCTGAAAATTCCCATTATTCCCTTGAAACACTTCAGGTTTTTGTCAGATCTTTTCGAATTTTATCATTGCCTCCTCCCATCTAAAATGGGAAGAATTATAAGATAGAATTCAATGTTAGCCATCACTCTACATACTAACAGAGAAAAGAATTAATGTTATCAAATGTATTAGCTACCTTTAAAATTGCTTCACATCATGAATCTTCAAAGGAAGATTGCTCTGTGGAAGCAGATTGCATTTTTTCATGTGTATCACCTCCATTGTTTGCACAGTATCCTGTGCTGCTATTTTTTGGAAGAAGAGTTGGTCCTACATTCTAATAAGTCAGTGTGTGCTTGCTTACTTGTATTGTCAACATCACTTTGTTTAATGACTGTTGAGGCCGTTTGCACTACTTGAAAGCTGAACGTAGTGCAAAACAATCCCCCTGTCTATTACAGGCACCTTTTGATGAAATGAGGCTACACTGCCAACTATAAACATTCATTCAGGGCCCATTCTTGACACTGAGATGATGATTTGTGACATATGGTTATCTTCCTTGCTTCTTCACCTTGAAGATCTGTGCCTCCATTAGCAGAATCTTACTCATCTGCCTCGTCATTTAGAAGTATCAGAAGAATAATTTTTTTAAGTTCCTGTTGGAATCCTGATGGGCCTCTGTAATCTAAGTAAAAGTCAGAAAATTGGTTTGATTCCTAAGAGCGGCAGTCTTTTTTGTTGTAGTGCATATTCTTTAGAGAGGTCCTGTGTTTCTTCTCTTTCAATTCCTCATGTTCAAGATTCAAGCAGACAATTATTTCTACTTTCATAGAAAATGTTGGCCCAAAAAAAATTGAAAACCAATATTATAAGAACATTATAGCAAAATAAAGGAAAAAAACCCAGTAGGTTGATGGTCAGCTCTTAAGATTTTCTGTTCTTTATCTATGTTTATCTAATTTATCTACTTACAATTTTAAAATTCTTGAGCCAGTTACTTACCAGTCTTGTATCTTTCTTTACCCATCTTTTTGAGAGTCATTAATTTTTTTCTTATCCAACTGTATCTAGATTTTTAGAGAATTTGATCACACATTTCCATCAGTTAAGAACTTAAATTCTCACTAGGATTTTATGCAGTATTTTTATCTTTGCCAAAATCTTAGTTTGACACCTATATCATCACGTAGCTTACGCTTACTTTTGCCACTTTCCTGCTAAAATGGCATTTCTGATAAGCTTCACCTCATCTGGCAGGATGAAATTGAGACTTGACAGCAAGCCCTTGTGTGGTGTGTGCTTTCATTCCCTTTCATCCCCTCTTATTCCCTCTCTCCCTGCCTCCCCCCAGCTTCTTTTTTGGTTTTTTTCAATGTTACTCTTGGGTCACAATATTTAAGTTGGTTCGGAAGGAGTAACTTAACATTATTTTTACCAAAAAACTGAGCTAATCGATTTAAACTTTTTTTTTACCTTTTTCCAACTGTATGGCTCTTTTGTGTGGTCAGAATACACACGCTAGATATTTTTCAGTCTTTCTATAACAAATTTCAGTAAATCATATTGCAAACCCATGTCTTTTTGTAAGAAGTCTTAAAGGACAATCTGTTTCTTCTCAAAAATTCTTCAAAGGCATCACAGACATCACTGATACTTCACATTCTTCTCTTAGAAATTAGAGCATATTTCACTAGTTGAGAGTGGCCTCTTGTTTCATGGATGTCCCTGTTTCTGAGACAGGTAGGGTATCAGCTGCTTCTCATTTGTGCCTGCTCATTTCTAGCAGCTTCTAGAATGAGATACTAATTTTGACAGTTTTACTGTATGACTTATTTAATAGAGGTCTTACCATTTACCTCCTTGAGCAGTAATTGATTTGTAGTCAGGTTCAGTGACCAAAAGCTCAAAAGAGGATGGGAACTACTCTCTTACCTTACCAAAAATAGATCTGAAATATTTCTCTGCATTGTTTCTATGGCAATTCTTTCCTAACTGGTAAAGAACCTTATATAAAAATTATCTAAGAAAAATTGCTAAAGCCTTTGCACACACTTTGGCCTTCTAACTTGCTGGAAGAAGCAAAAAGTGTATAGGCTAAAAGCTTGTGTATATGCTTGCATTGTGTTTCCAAATGTCTTCCTTATTAGAGATTAAAGACAAAAAAATCTCTGAATCACGTGTGATATACCTCCTTTTACCTGGTATCATGCATGCTTATATGGTTCCCAGAAATAACATCTAAATTTCCTCACACAAGGATAACAGCTAGTTTAGCATTGCATTGGTGTGCTTAGCTTTATACACCTTTTATTTTTACAAAGGGTAATTTCAGTACATCTATTCTGTTATGACATACTTCAAGTCATATGCCTAAACATTTGCTGAGTGTTGCTTTCAAGAGAGACAACAGTGTGAAGGGGCCTTGATGACTCTACCTTGTCCATGGTTTGCGAAAATGGCAAATAGATGTGAGGAAATGGGAACTCATGATCATTTGCTGTCTCAGTCCTTTAATACTATAGTTCCATGCCAATTTTACTGTGGTAGTTTGACCTGGGCTGGATGCCAGGTGCCCACCAAAGCCGCTCTATCACTCTTCTCCTCATCCGGACAGGGGAGAGAAAATATAATGAAATCTCATGAGTTGAGGTGAGGATGGGGAGAGGTCACTCACCAATTACTGTCACGGGCAAAGCAGACTAAACTTGAAGAAATTGATTGAATTTATTATCAATTAAAATCACAGTAGGATAATGAGAAGTAAAAAAATTCATAAAGACACCCTTCTCCCTCTCCTCTCTCCTTCCTGGGCTTAACTTTATTCCTGATTCTCTGCCTCCTTCCCTCAAGCAACGCAGGTAGACAGGGAATGTGGGTTACAGTCAGATCATCACGTGTTGTTTCTGCCACTGCTTCCTCCTCAGGGAGAGGAGTCCTCCCCCTGCTCCAGCGTGGGGTCCCTCCAGTGGGACAGTTCTCCACAAACTTCTCCAACGCGAGTCCTTCTCACGGGTTGTGGTTCTGCATGAACTGCTCCAGCATGGGTCCCTTTTTCCCCACAGGGTGCAATCTTTCAGGAACAGGCTGCTCCAGTGTGGGTCCCCCCACAAGACCAACAGAAAACATGCTCCAGTGTGGGCTTCTCTTTCCACAGTTCCACAAGTCCTCCCAGGAGTCTGCTCCAACACAGGCTTCCCATGGGGTCACAGTCTCTTTTCAAGCATCTACCTGCTCTGGTGTGGGGCTCCTCCATGAGATGGATCTCTGCTCCCCCATGGACCTCCATGGGCTGCAGGGGGACAGCTGTGTCACCATGGCCTGCACCATGGGCAGGCTGCAGGGGAATCTCAACTCTGGCACCCGGAGCACCTCCTGCTTCGCTGACTTTGGTATCTGCAGAGTTGTCCCTCTTACTTATTCTCACTTCTCTCTGGCCGCAATTACTTCTGCACAATGACTTGTTTGGGTTTTTCTCCTTTTTAGATATGTTATCACAGATGTATTACCACTGTCACTGAGTGGCTCAACCTTGGCCAGCAGCAGGTCTGGCAGCTTCTCACAGAAGCCACCCCATAGCCTCCCTGCTATCAAAACCCTGCCACACAAACCCAGTGCATTTCCTTAACTGATAAGATCAAAGAAGGTTAGGCTCTTCAACAGTATGGATGCAATATTGTTCATTTCTATAATCACTGAAGCCTAGCACAAACGAAATTACAATAACCTCTAAGTGAAAGGCAGGTCTACTTGATTAGGTTGCACAGCACTTCTGCATTACTCCTAATTGTTCAGTGTAACTATAGAATGTCTTTACAAGTATCGGTTTACATGGTTAAGGAGCAACTATGCAGAACATTGCCACTTTCTGTCATTATCTAAGTACCAGAATGAAAATTGTTAATTTTGCCTAGAAATAATGCAGTTAATAAGAATATTTATTTACAGATAAAACCAGATCCTTTCCTAACACTCAGTGCACTTTGATTTTCTCTATTTGTGAGTCTCAGGAGGTAGTTAGGCATTTGTGTATTCATGATTGGAAAGTAATATTTTAAGGACTACCTACTATAGGCTAATATGTTGGCAATAAGTTAAAAACAAAACAAAAAACAAACAAAAAAACCCCCAAAACCAAAAAGAAAACGGGGTGTAGGAGTAGAAGAACCTTCATATTTACAAGAAAACAAGGTTTAAGAATAACGTTCCTTCTGAATTAATCTTAAATGATTAACTGCATCACATATACACCTGTAAAAGCTACAGACTCTAACCAAGGAATTATCTTGAAAATTATCAACATTTGGAGGCATTTGCCCTATCTAGAAATATATACACAAAAGTAGTTTAATGTTGAATTATTTTTATTATTGACTCTTTTAGACTGTAAGGGCAAACTGCGAGTGTCTTTTATTTTTATTTTAATAATCCGTTTTTGAGACATGCTAAACAAAGTATTTTTGAAAGTAATGGAACCTCATCTGTTAAACTTTTCTTTCCAAGATACTTTCCGTAGTAAAATTTCACATTTGAAATGTGTGTGGCAGCTCCAATTTGATGAACTGGTCTTACTAAATTCTTCTGGATTTGAGTATCTTATCTTACAAAAAATCATCAGCTGCTGTTTTTCTGAGATTCAGAAATTATGTGCTATCCTGGACTTAATTTCACTAGCTCAAAACCAGGCATCTAGCTGACCTTCTCAGAGTTCTGAGGTTCTTGTATGATGAGGTCTGAAGTGTGACCTAGAGACTTGCAGGTTTGGAGCTGATTTACATGCATGCTTGACAACTAGGACAATTTCCAGTTGATTGTTCATCACTAGTTTATGGTTGTAGTCTGAGTATCTAAGAATAATTAATTAAGAAGAAATCTTTCTTTAAAAATGTGTAAAAGATAGAGAAACTGGTACAGAAAATTGTAACAATGATTACACTGATTATTTGCTATTATTAATTTTCTAGGCATGCCTGTGAAAAATAACATAGCAGCTTTACGCCAGTCTCCAGGACAGAATGGCACTAGCTTTCATGGCTGCATCCGTAATCTGTATATCAACAGTGAACTTCAGGACTTCAGAAATGTGCCACTGCAAGTGGGAATTCTGCCAGGTTGTGAGCCTTGTCATAAAAAAGTTTGTGTGCATGGAACATGCCATGCTACCAGCCAGTCAGGCTTTTCCTGTGAGTGCGAAGGAGGATGGACTGGACCCCTCTGTGATCAACAAACTAACGACCCGTGTCTTGGAAATAAGTATGTCTTCCCTCAAGACAGAACAGTAGTATATTATGCATATAAGTCTCCTGTTCTGTGTATTTTTTTTCATAAAAGTTCACACTTGCAAAAGCAAAATAGCCGGGGCATGTAAAAATGAAAACAGCATTCCAGTTATAGTTTATTCTTTCCATAAACCTAATGAGGAAAAGTTCCCAGTTTAGGGAATCAGTTTTGCCTAAAACCTGGGAGGTGCTCTTACATACTTCTCTATGGGCTGCTTCTGTAATGAGTTGCTCTCATGACCCTTGGTACAAAAATCATTTAGAAGAAGTTGCAAATAGAAACAATTCTATTTGCTTACTTATAATTGTATAGAATGAGGAAATAATATTGTTATTAATAATATTAATATTCTCTACTCTGTTTAAAAAATTTGATATGACATATCTAATATTTTATACTTTCATAGTACCCCAGGTTTTAGCAGGAAAATTTATGGTAAACTTTTGTTTAAGTCCTTGTGTGCTAATTCTATTTGCTAGTTCTAGTTTGGACATTTTATATATGTCTATAGACAAGTTCATGTTTATAAATTTGTAGAGAGAGAAAAAGATAGATATATATGTGTATGACAGTATTGATATTTATGCATATATGTCTTTTAAATTTACTGTAGAGACAGATTCAATTTTTTAGTTCATGGATACCCAGCACAAGAAGATCAGAAACTTCAGAAGTTCAGAGTTCTTCAGGATTTATTGACCTTGGGCAACAAGATATCATTCTGTTTGTCCTTACCACTGTCCCCACTACAGCTTGGCAAACAACTTTTTGGCTTTTGGCTTTGGTTGGGTTTTTTTTAGAGTAAAGTAGGCCTGCTCGAATCTTTTGGCTGCTGGCTTTTTCAGTGCTCTGGCCTATGTAACTTTTTACAAACTAAGGACCAGTGGCTTGAGTTTGCTAAGAGATTCTAATAAGATGGTTTTCAAGTCCCATTTAAAATGATGTTTGAATGATCTTTTCACATCACGTGTGGAGAATCTGATACTTTAAAGCTTTATACAGCAGTTAGCGTGCTTTACAATGCTGTTAGCATTGTTTACATTGGTTATAGACTTTCAGTATCATTAAGTTTTGAACTCTTCCCAGAGCTAGAACAGTGAATTTTTGAAGCATATCATTATAGAATTTCATTGTTTATAGATCTCTTTCTTACTCTGTCCTCTTTCACAGTAACTTCAATGAAAGGGAGTCACAGCAGGTTAAAAAATACAAATGCAACTTTTATCATATCCATTTTATACTTTAGGAGTGAAAAATAACCTCAAACTGTAACCACAAGTTACTTTCTATAAGAAAAACCAGAGAATTTCTTTAAACTGTCCATGAAATATTAGATTCTTCAGAGGTTCTTTTAACTGTGCACATCAGCACCCAAAACGACTGCTTTTTTGCAGCAAATTACAAAGATATCAGTATCAGATACAGGCAGTATCAAAGGTAGAATTAAGTGAGCATAGCATTAATATTTTGTTTGCTCTCGGAGGTATTGGGTTTGTTTAAGCTGTATACAGTGCTATGAGCTTTTAAGAGAGAAAGCCAAACCAAAATTGTATATTTTGAGTGAAGGTGGGCTTTGTTGTTCTTTAGTTCCTGGGGATTTTGTTTCTGTATTTCTTGATTCATCTCTAAATTGTGTCTATTGAATAGATACCTTGTCTCCCTCTAATACAGTACAACATTCTGCTTTATCTGAGAAACAGAGTTGTCACTGTGATCTCTGTTTCAAAAATATAGGTTATCTTTTAGAGATCCCTGCACATCATGAAAAGGCGTAAGACTTAGATTTATTTTACCTAACTCCAGGTGCTTGAATTCAAAACATAGTGACCAAAATTTTTTCTCTAGTCAATAAAGGAATAAACACATTTCAAAAGAGTAAATTAGACTTCAGTTTGTCTAATCACTCCCTGGATAATTTTATTTCTGTCCATGACTGTGTATGGAGCTTATGGCAATTATACATCTAACTTGAGTGCCTGACAGAGGTACCTAAAATTAGATGAGATGAAATTGTGCCCAAGAGTTTGCACTTAGCTTGATGTTCCTTTCAGTACAATCTGAAGATGAAATTTAGAGCTTCAAAGAGCAGGTGGAAACAAAAGTATGAGAGCTGGCATTAGCTAAGATTTAATCATCTTCTAAGTCAAGCAAAACTTTACCAAAGATCCTGGCACAGATTGCTTTGATATTTAAAGTAGCCTGTATAGAATATGACATAGTGTCACCTGAGTAACTTCGTAGATCAGATGTCCTAAAAGCAGATGTTTTGTAAATGGTGAACAGATCAAATGCTGAACATAATGAAAACTAAACAAAAGCTATCTGCTCTGTGATACTGTCGAAACCTTCAATTTTGAATTTCTTAATAAGTCTTGGAATATCAGACTTCAACCACAGAAACAATTTGTAATTTTTGTAGGGAACACAGTTCCTTCAAAATACAGACTAATAGGAAAGCTGGAGGTGCTTAAGATATCAATTTTATATTTGCAATTTTTAATCCCAAACTGGTTATGTGAATGGAGGCTACGTGTTGTGCCTTCTGTTTAAATATCCTGTGATGAGACTGATTCCACATACTCTTTTTTCCTCTTAAGTGCCTAAAGCACTTGCACAGAATTAGAGATGGAGAACTGTAGTGGAGATTTCGTTGATGAGTGGAACTTGTTGATCTTTATAAAATGAAACTATTTTAAATAGTTAATGCCAGTTTTTCAGAGTTGAAAAGTATTGCGCACTTTTCAATTTTACCAAATCTCTTATTTACTGAAGGAGTAGAGAAAAAAGAAAAAAGTTTTCAGGAATACAGAATATGTTAGCTAAAAAATTTCAAAATGAAATGTTACTCAGAATTCTTCTTTTACTATGACGTGCAATTTTAGATTAATTTTTGCCATCTTGAAATTGAAACAAATTATTTTATTTTAGATCAAATGGGATTTTTATTTTTTTTCTTTTTTTAATCGAAAACTTCTCATTTATTTAGGTGGCTGCCACAACCTACTAGGGAGGTTGTGAGCTCAAGGATCTTACAATATAGAGAGGAAAAGCCTTAGAGAGGAGAAACATCGAGAAAGGTGACTGTGGTCTTGAATATCAGGATTGCATTCCTCCCAGCACCGGAATCTTCACTGTGGTGAAGATTCCCAGGTGTTTCCCTGGGAAGCAATATGTAGATAGAAAACTTGTCTGTCAGTGCAACAGTTAAAGAGAATAGCATTATATCTAGGAAGAAAGTTATTGACCCTGTACTACTAAAGGAACAAAGGAAAGTGATTTCATTCCAAGTCATCAGTGATGTTTTCAGAAGATGAAATCCCCTAATGTTCAGCTTACACCTAGGAATAGGCAATTAAACATCCTCCTTTTGGGAACCACTACCTCACTCTCAAAGAGAAAAAAGACCAGCTGTGCATTCCCATACTACTGTATGTCAGAACTTAGCAGATGCAGCTTAACTCACAATAGTTTTTTGTCTAACAAGATTCGAGGCAGCCACAAATGTTTACTAAAGCTCAACTGAGAGATTACCTAGTGTAATCACCCTGGGTGAGACTTGATAATATGAGACCTTATCTAGTGTGGGCTTCTGCATGAGAACTAGATGAGTGCTGCTGTCTTGCAGTGAAGCAGACACCTGCCTCATACATTTTAAGACGCTGCTATTGGCAATGCAGACTAATATATTTAAAGGGGAAGCACATGTTCAGCTTTGAAACTGCCACTGCTTGGGTCAGAAAAGTTTCTGTTAGGAAGTGCCTGACCTGTCCTTGTGCTGGGAGCCCCATACTTCATGACTGACAATTTGGGCTTTCTTTTAAATGATACATGAACCAGAATTTCAGGTGAGTATCAATTTTCTGTGGCTTGATTTTGCTGTGTTCTTCTCAAAAGCATGCTGAAAATCTAGGTAGACAAGAAATGTTGTTTTCAGTAACTGTAACCTGTAAAAGTCTTCCATAACACATCTACAGTGGCTATTTTCTGGTGAGAGAGAGTTTTGTACTGCAGCTTGTTTTGTGTAAACCTGCATACCAATTAAACCACTTCACTGCATCTCACTGAAAAGTCCATTAGAAACAAAAGCAATTTCTTCTGAGTACAGTCCAAAGTATTTGTAGTTAATGTTGCTTAGCCTGAACTTTGATGAATAATTTATTTTTATTCTCTTGGGCTTGTTTCCCCTGTAGATGTGTGCATGGTACCTGCTTGCCGATCAATGCATTTTCATACAGTTGTAAATGCCTGCAGGGACATGGGGGAGTCCTCTGTGATGAAGAGGAAATGCTGTTTAACCCCTGCCAATCCATCAGGTGTAAACATGGCAAATGTAGGCTTTCAGGACTTGGGAAACCATATTGCGAATGCGGCAGCGGATACACGGGGGACAGCTGTGATAAAGGTAAAAAAAAATAAGTAATGTTGTTGTTGTAGTCTTAGAAAATAGCTTTTTTTTTTTTATTAAAACATGAACAGCCAAACACATGAACAGTCAAAAACATGACCAGATTTTTTTTTCCACAACACACATATTTGTTGCTTTTTTTTTTCTACCATAAGACTTTATCTTGGTGAGAGAAAGATCAAACCTTTCCCATGAATTTGTTTACATTTTGAGGATTTTTTCATCAAATGTTTTGCTGTGAAAACATTTTTTTTGCCTTTATTCAGAAACACATTTTTACTATATTTAACTATTACCTTTTACCTGCTGTATCTTTCTGTATTTATTGTTCCTCTACCTTCTGCAACTGAGAAGCCAAATCCAATGATTCTGCTCCTAGTTTTATCACAAACTCTACTTTTGACCTCTCAGCTTCAACTGATTTATCACAGCGAATTATGCAGGTGAGATGGATGAAAACAGGATGACTTTTCCCCCTACCTTTTTCTTTTTCCTTTGTCTATCAAAGCTCTCCCTCTCCCTCTCTTTCCCTTACCCCAGATGGCATTTATTTTGTATTGTACATAGATGGGAGTAGAACAGAAGAATATAGTTGTAGAACTTTTAACAGATGTCTCATTTTTAGCAGGCTTTATACCTCAGTAATTTATGAAGTTAGTGGAATGTAACTTATATTAAATAAGAGTTTGAATAATATTAAACTCCAGGTCTAATAAATTAAATTGCATGCTCTCCGAAACATTTCCCTATGGTAAACAGAACCAGCTGCAAGCAATGTAGGAACAGAAGATGTGTATTTTTATAAAAGAGGAAAAGATTTAGGCTTCCAATTTTCTTGTCATTGTAATAGCTTCGTATTTATGGTTTACATATACATAATATAAGCTTTACTGAAAACAGGCGGTATAGGGAATAAAAAACCAGCATTAATCAAATTACGTTTGGTAGAACCACTAGTTTCCAACATACAGTCTGAGTCAAACTTAAAATATCAATCCCAAATGCAAATAGTAACACAGCATCTTCCTTAGCAATGTCAACCTTTCTTTCACCTATGTCTCAAAAGCATATCTCTTATTTTAAATGTTGTTTTCTACAGAAATCTCTTGTCGAGGGGAACGAGTCCGAGATTACTACCAAAAGCAGCAAGGGTATGCTGCGTGCCAGACGACCAAGAAGGTATCGAGACTAGAATGTAAAGGAGGATGTTCAACCGGGCAGTGCTGTGGACCACTAAGGAGCAAGAGACGGAAATACTCTTTTGAATGCACTGACGGGTCATCATTTGTGGACGAGGTTGAAAAAGTGGTGAAGTGTGGCTGTACAAATTGTCCCTCCTAAGTGTCCCTGTCACACTTGTCTTTTGAAAATGTTGTATACTTATTGACCGTGTCGGACTAATTAATGCTCATAGTGGAAATATTTGAAATATATTGTAAAATACAGAACAGACTTATTTTTATTATGAGAATAAAGACTTTTTCTTCATTGAAAAAAAAGATTCAAGTGCTTGAACTGAGACTTCTCATACCCAAGAGGACCTTTGAAGAAAAAAAAAAAAGACCTGGTAACATTGCAACAGAGATGGGAAATTTTAACTGCTTTTAACATGGATTCTTCTTTATAACATGCTGAAGATACACTGACACTATACACATGTGACTTTCAACTTAACAGCTCAGAGATGAAAAATTGACCAGAACACAAGGCTTGTTTTTTCATTTCCGTATCAGTATATTTTATTGTCTTGACAGACCATACCAATCACTTACCTATGGATGAGGAAGCATTATAAGAGAAAAGAATCAGATTATATAGAAATAACAATTGAAACACATTTTGTCTTTGGAATTATTAAGCATCTTGAAAAGATGGTGTCCCACTTAATGAATGGGAAATAGGAGATACAAGAATATACTATAATCCTGAAATCTCCTGATGATGTATACTTTTATGTCAGCATGTTAGCAAAAGAAGCAGAAAAAAAGTGTTTATCTTCCCTTTTCCAGTATTAATTTTTTGTAATATAAATGTTTTGGGGATGATAAAATAGATTATTGATGGATAAATTAGTAATAATATGGATTTCTGGTTTTATGAGTTCTAAACAACTCTATACAGTATTCAGTTTCATTGAGAAATATTTATTGTATCAAAGTACATTGTACTTAACCCTTTTAGGCCATCCCTTTTACTGTTTTTCAATGCTTTAATATATATTAATTTATATTTGTCCCAGTATTTTTGTAATTTTTTTTAAAGGACTTAAAAATCAGGATTTTTTGCAATAGAACTAACGTAGCATGTCGTCTTGGGGTAAATGTTTTCAGTCTGTTTTCTCCTTTCCGTTCCCTTTTACTTTTCCTTAGAATCTGACCAATTGGTGTCACTGAATTGAAAGTGGTGACAATCTGCGGATTCACATACAGCAGATATTCAGGCACCTTCCAAGAACCCGTAATGTATGACTTTACACTAGATGGCAATTGTAGAGAAGTTAATTTTCCCTATATACAGTACTTACAGAAAATAAGATGGCGTGTAGAAAATGACATTAGAAGATAGATCTTTATAAATTAATATTCCCATGGAACTCTTTACCTTTTTTATAAAAAAAGAAAAAAAGGCTGTGCTATCAAGAACTGTGACTTTCCCCAAATAATAAAACTACTTTACTTCCCTAATGTTCCCCATGTTAACATGTTGCTGCTAAATTATAATGTAGAATTGGTAATCAGTAGTGGGTTGTGTTCTTCTTTCAGTAAAACCCAGGGTACCCTGTAAAAAATGCAGATGTTTTTTCAATTTTATTTTATTATTTTTTTTACAAAAAAGTTAGATGTACATGTGTAATGCAGTGTGCTTTGTCATATTTGGACTGATATCAGTAATGCTACTGATGTTTGTAAATTAAACAGATATTTACTTCATTTACAGCTCTTATTTGTATTCTTCTGAGAAGTTTAAATTGTTTAGCAGCCTTTAATTAAACATCTGTTGCAAAGAATATTTGGTAAAAGACAGAATAAAACCCAACCTTAGATCCCATGTATTCAGTACTGAAAATCTGAAGAAGGAATTATCTTGCGATTATTACACCTAGAGGCAGTGACATCTGAAAGTGTCTGTGCATTATGAAATCAGATAAACTTATACCAAAATTGAGAAAAGACTTGAAGTACACTTCAGGAAAAGGCAAACTGAGTCTATCCTAATACTTTAATGATTATAAAAATTGCAATTTGACAGTTATTCTAGGAAGTAATTTGATTCTTCAGAAGGATTCATTATCCCTAGTCTTTGACTAATTATTTTAAATTTGAGCAATTGGATGGGATGATACTTAACCAATGAAAAAGCCTTTGGCATGAGGCCTTCTTTGCAGCTTCTATGACTGCTAAATAGTCTGCTGTAAATAGGGGTAGCTTTGAGGAGAAAAGAGGCATTTTTGCCTAACAGTCCTTATATAGCATTCTTGGATACAGAAAGATCTCTTGAAGCTCAAAGTCCCTGTACCACGTATCCCTGTACCAATGGAGTTGGATTGCTTTCTGTCCTCATACTGACAGAGAAAAAGGAACTTTGCAGAATTTGCTTTATTCAAGCAAATACTAGCAGCTGCTGGTGATCCTGATGCCAGCAAGAGAAGGACATTTTGTGGTCCCTAAGAAGGAAAAAAAAAAACACCCCTTTGGAATAAAACAAACAGACAAAAAAACCCCCCAACAAACAAATGAAAAAAACTCACCAAAAAAACCACCCAAAACCCCAAAACCAAACCCAGCTTAGGCACCCAGCCATGTCAAGGAATACAGGGCACTCATATCAAACAGTGATTCAGCTCACGTTAGAACCTGAGCAGCCCTGCATTCTCACCACTGAAAGTCCTTAAGCATTGACAAAGTGTGCCACTGTGCATGCCAAGAGAGAACTTCCTCAGTGGGATGGGTCACCCTGACACCTTTCTAATAGCTAAATCAAGTTTCTTGTAGTATTGCTATAACAGGCTGCTTTGTACCTCTATTCCCCAAAAGGGAAATAGGGAAGGGAATCTGAGGGAACTGTAGCTTTAGGTATAGCTAACATAGTGGAGAATTTAGTTCATTGTGGAGCACTCCAGACACATAGGTTTTCATTCAAAAATATAAGTCATGGGGCTTTTAGCACAGTGTTTAGAAATTAGGTATTTCTCCTTGTGTCTGCTACCTGCCCTAGGAATCACTTTCATACAGTTTGCTTTTAATGTACTGAATAAAATGCATAAACTGCATTGGGTCTGATGGATATGACTCAGTACAGTGACCAAGTCCTCACTTCAAGTTAACACTGCATACAATTCAAATACTTTTTTCATTAGAAACCATGAAAAATAAAACTTGCAGATTCCATCATTTTCTGCCAGTATTCTTAAAAGCTGTAAAAAAGAGAAAGGACATGAATACTGCTTAATTTGTACTGGCTCATGCACAGCTCTTACTGTCATCTCACAGATGACAAAATTGTGAAAGATCATGGAAAAAAAAGACCATACTTGAATAAAAGAGTAACAAAAGTCATTGTTCTTTTGTTACTGTTGAAAGTCAGTTCAGAACAGGAAATATCACACATGGAAGCAGATTCTGCAGTCTGTATTAAAGTTTCTGGGGTAGATGGATATTCAAGGGATAGAAATACTCTTTTAAGAAAACCAACGGTGAGCTATTAGCAAGCTTTGAGGGATACAGTTTATTTTCTAAGCTCTATTGTGATAACAATTTTATCTTCAGAATACTTTTTATTGCCATATGGGGATACCATGAGCCTTAGTATTACAAGAATTGTTGTTATCTGATGATGCTCTATGTAGGTGCCACAACCAGTATGATACTCATGTGATGTTACGAAGGCATTTGCCTGGAAAGACACGCATGCAGAGGTTTTACAAATGACAACAAATCTGGCAGACCTGATAATCCACAGTGTACTTGCAGGGATAGTAGCAAGGCACTGGAGTAAGTGGATTGTCACCATGCTAGTTTTGATGAGATGGGTGATGACTAAGAGATGAGGGGGAGAGTGGTACATTTTGGAAAGGAGCTTGCTGTTAAGAAGAAAATGCCCAGAAGTTCTGGCAAAGTGTCAAGAGTCTTGGGGGCTGTTTGCAATAAAGCTCTATTTTGGGAGCTTTATCTGTTGTTGCTTGAAACTTACATGTTTAAAAGAAATCTCTTTACAGTTCTGAAAATTGCATGCTTGATATTTCTATCTTGAGTTAACCCTATTGTTTAACAGAAAGTTTATCTTTTCAAATCAATTCAAAATTCCATCTTTTGGTTCCTTTTCTTCTCCTTCAGAAGCAAGTGTTATTCTTGCAGTAGCTCATTAGGAATGCAAGTGTCTGTGCTTCAGCTATCCCACCTTACAGTGGAGAGCCTGGCACATAATTTCAGTTCCCATAAAGTGCAATTCACCAGCTGAGCCATTCAGGATTCTTGGCTTTTAGAAGAAATATCTATAGACTGAGCTGGTATCCAATCTATTTAAGATTCCTGGAGTGGAAATCAGAAAATCATTGGTACTTGTGACTATGTAGGGGCTGTCAGGAGTACAGTAAAACTGAAGTGTTTGCCTGCATGCCTGGAGAGCCTGGCTCCTCCTGGAGAGCCGACTCTTTCACTGTGGTTTTTATGTATTGTGTTCCTGGGAGACTGGGAAGTCGTGTTCATCCTTTCTGAAATATTTGAGAGTAGAGAGATTTTGTGTCCTTTTACAAATAAATTGTCTAGGCTGGAAATCATAGGCCTCTTTGGCCCTCAGCCAGGTTAAACTGTGTATGTATACCTTAACATCAGCCATCATCTTGGACACCAACAGATCCTGATGTTTAAAAAAGTGAATAAATCTTGCTCTCGATTTAATAAAACACAGATGGGAAAAGCAAACCAAACAGAGAGTTAACAGCTCTATTCACTAGTCTCCTGGGCTCCATGTGATTAAATCAGAATTGGAGGGTATGTTCCTGTTGCTGCTGTTCTGGCCAGTGTCCGTAGGGGTGATGGCCAGCAAAGGAGAAGTATTCTGTCAGAGCTGCGTGTCATTTGTCAAGCTGAAAAAAACCAGTCATCTCACTGAACAGCAAGACTTCTGGCTATCCACAGTCCCTGCAAATATGCTCCAGCTCTACAGTATGACACCCATGCTGCAGGAATTTTGCTCAGCCATGGGAACAGACTTTAAAACTGCCTCCCAGATCCACAACTTTATTTGAGAATGTTGATCTTAGTAATGCTTTGGGGTCTTTACAACTCCATCCTTTTATTTCATTCCAGATTAGAGGTAAACTCCTTTAGTTCTAAACATCAAGCCTTAGTACTCTCAATCATTGATTTCTACTAGATACAGGAAATTAAGACTTGGGGTATTTTGTTCCTTTTTTAGGTACTCATTAACATTTGTAGAGGGATCAGAAGACCTGCCTTAAAGAAGAAAAAAGAAGAAGAGACAGGTCATACATCCAGCTACAGAAATAAAACATTTTCATGGCTTTTATAATTCAGAAAATTTTACTTTCTATGGAACAGTCTCACATCCATAGATTGATATAAACTTACTTATTTTATGGATTTATAGACTTAGACTAGGCGAATTGCTGTCTGGTTTTGTCTGCTACTACTTTTATTTTTGAAAAAATTCCTTTTAGGATACTTTCCATATAACAGGAGACAATGAAATACAGAATTAATGTGCCTGAGTTACTTACTCTGTCATTAAGGTTCCTTAAAATGATCCAGTAGCCTTTTTACAGGACATTTTTCTTCTTTTTCATAGTTTTTCACATTCTAGGCTTCAGTCTGTTGTTTCTGTGAAACTTTGTCCACTTTAATTTCCAGAACAGATTTAATCCTTCCAAAGAGAGGGAAAGGATACCTTCTTTTTTCTGCAGCTGTGCCTAAAATCTCTCACAGAACATCTTTAGAAGTATGTTTTCTTTCAAAGTCCTCTGAGAATAGGTTAACTTGAGCTGTTTTTACTGCAAACTTTTTTTTCTTTTGCTTCTGATTAGCTTTATTTATTTAATCACATATCTGTGTTTCTGCTATGGTTAGAGCAATAAGACTAGTACCACCTGACCTGTGTTTTAGAAGTTGCTTGCTGTTTTGAAATAGCAAGTTTTAAGACTTTGAGGTTTGCCTGTTCTCTCTCCTTTTTTTCTTTTTTTTCTTTTTTCTTTGTTTTGTTTTGTTTTTCATTGGATCTCCTTCCCTAACAGTTCATCCATTTTTGTGTAGTTTTATGTTTATTTTGTATAGGAAAGGTAAGAACATAAGACAATATCAACAGTAAATAAAACTGACCACAGAAAACACATGGATCTACACAGATAGCTGAATATCCACAACGAGACCATGTGACACAGCACATACTCCTTTGCAGAAAAAGGTTCACTATTACCCTAAATAAAAAATAATAATAAAAAAAAACTAACCCCCTCCCAAACCTAATTAGAAACTTTGAAAAGCAGCCTAAATGTGAGAAGTAAAAGGTTTGTTAAGTCCCAATTCATCAAAACATTGCTCATCATCCATTATCACAAAAGAAAGACCAGCCTTTGGCATTCATGCCTTCCTTCCTGCTCCAGGCACTCCAGACACTACTTGCTTTCCCCCTTTCTCACACACCCAGCTCCAGACCTGACTGTGCCTGCCATTCCCACAGCCTTCCCAGACGACACTTCTTCCTTCCTTTCCCAGTAAGTCACATCAATCACCTTCCTGCATGTGTCTTCCCTAAGATAACTTGCGGCACCTAGTCAGGGCAAAACATCGTGCTGGTGATGGAAAGAACACTCTCCAGCTAATTAACATTTCAGCATTTAAAAATCAAGTATTACTTATTAAACTGTTACAGAAAAGTGCTTATACCAATCAGCAGGAATTGTGGCTGTCAAAAC